TCTTGGTGTTGTTCTACTGATTTGTAGGTATTCTGTATGTATTAAGGAAAAAAATCTCTTGTCATTTGTGCTGTTCATAGTTTTGTTTTGATATTTTTCAGGAAGTATCTTATTTTTCAAAATAGTTCTTCAGCAGCTTTTAAATTACTGTTTAAAAAATTTATGGGACACACTGTTTAAAAAAATTAGAGGACATTCATTAGTCTTTTATGGCCTCAGGATGTACCTTAGGAACAACAGCCAGTGTTACCCACTGGTCTCCACACATGTACAAGTGCTCACCAGCACATGTGCATATACATAAACATAAATGAAGAAAGAAGCAGTGTAGTTTCCTCTAGCCCTAGGACTGCACTTTGCATGTGCTCTGCCATACCTTTGGACCACTTGTCAGTTTTAAATAATCTGTGTTTGAGGTTTGTTTGTGTTTTAGGCTGTCTTGTATCATAGGTGTGACTTTTGAAGTGACTGTAGAACTATAATGTGTTTTAAATATTTAGAGCTTTTGGGAAGGAGAGTGGCTCAGCAGTTAAGAACACTTACTGGTTTTTGCAGAGGACGTGGGTTTGTGTCCCAGCACTCACACGATGACTCGGCTGTCTGTGACTCTAGTTACAGGGGATCCAGTGTCCTCTCCTGGCTTCCACAGACACCAGGCATGCATGAGGTGCACATATACATGCAAGCAAACACCCATACACACAAAATTAAACAGCCATCAAAATTTAAAACATTTTAGAGCTTTTACCTAATTTTGCTTGCTTGCTTTTTATTTCTATGTGAACTTTCAAATTCTGGTGCTTTAAATTTTTCATTAAATTTTCTGGTGGCTTGCAAAATATTTAAATATTAATTTAGGAAGAAATAAAGTCTTGTAATATTGAGTTTATTTAAGAACATGAAAAATTTTTATAAGTTCTTATCATTTTTTTGCTACCCCTTAGAGTATTTATAATTCAAAAAGAAAACAGAAATAACACAAATGGTTTTAATGTCTATTTTCTTGGAGTTTTATAGCATTCATCCATATTATTTGCAAATATTTTCTCTTTCTATTTTTACATTTTTTCTCAGTATTTTCTATTTTAGTATTTTTCTATTTTTACATTTTTTCTCTAAGCACATTGTTTAATGATAACGTTAAAATGGATATTTTTGTTTTGCTTCTGACTTAGTTTCAGTACTCTTAGATTTCTCTGTATATGTTGTTGGCTTTTGGATTGAGTTGGAATCTTTTATTTTCAAGGTTTGTATTTTGTATCAAATTTTCTTTTAAAAAGCCAACAAGAAAAATCTTAAGCTGAAAGAATAGTTGAGAGGACCATTCAAAGAATTTGTTTTTCCCTGAGCTATAAGGGTTAGTTGCCAGCTAACCTGATAGTCTGTTGGCTCCAACTGAATACTTCGGTGTTTGTTTCATACAAACAGTGGTATCCTGTGTGACACTCAATATCAGCATCAGAGAGCTCACACTGATAGATTAGTACTTCTCAGGCTCCATTCTTGTTTTATCATCTGTCTTCCTAATGTCTCTGCATGATCCACTACAGTTTAAAATCATGCCTTGCATTTGGTTTCTGGTCTATTTAGTTCTTGCACCTGAAACAGTCTTTCTGTGGCTTTATGAATTAACACTTTTGAAGATCACAAGAAAATTGATGTGAAAGAACTCTCATGTTGAGTTTCCTCAATGTCTCCTTCATCCTTTATAAAAATGTCTCATAACTGAGTTGTAAAAGTAACTTTCATTCACCTGGTGTAATTGTCATCTTGGAGGCTTACTGATGAATAAGTTCACCCTTTCTAGTTCTTTCTGAACTAGAAATTCCTCCATGCTGACTAATTCAATCTGGTCTCTCTTGACTTCTCACTGAATATCTCTGCTTGGCCTCAACCTAACTCTGGCAGTCTGTTCTAATATTCTGGCTTCTCGTTCTCTGGCTATAAATTCACAGACTGAATGGAACTGATGGATTATGCTCAACTCCACTGCGCTCAATGCACTGACTCTGCACTGGCCCTCTCTCCCTCTGTTGCTCTTAAATAGCTTCTCTTCCTCTGCTGTTCTTGTGAGAGTTGGGTGTATCTTATCTCTGACTCATCTTCTGTCAGGTGTTTTTCTAACTCATCACTTTGTCTGCCCCTCAACTAGACGTCACTTTCAAACTGGACTGCTTCCTTCTACAAACTAATTTTACCTGAAAGGTGTCTACTAAGGGTGTGTCTGTTTTACAGTCAGAGAAATTAAAGGTGTGTGGTGTGTCTGCATTCCAGCCAGGTCACCCAGACCTAGGTCATTGGATGTGATCCTTTGCCAGAGTAGCCATGCTGGTGGATTAAAATTCCCTTATGTCTTTCCCCTTTCTGTTTTAGCTAATAATCATGCACAGTTTTAACTATTACAACAGAAACAGTAATTATTCCCATCAATGTAACAGTCCAAATGTCATTAGGAAGATGTGCTAATGTGATGATCCTTGTCCTGTAAGTGTGGTGTCAGCAAGTTTCAGCATCAAGGGTTTCAGTCTGCCAGTCTGATGACAGCTAGTTTGTTGAGCTGTCCTATGCAGGGGGAATCAGCTTTCTACATCTTCTGAGTTGCTGTCTGTCTGTATCTCTTCCTTGAGTTGTGCCTTTCATGTAGAAGCTTCTCTTACTTGGATCCGATCTTTATCAATTTTAATGGAACCCATAGTCTTTCATCACCTGTGGAAATGTTGACAAAACCTTCCCCAATTTAGCACATTCTCTGACTTCATTCTGATGTTAAAATATCTTTACACAAGTTGATATATTGAGCACTTTGTCTACTCAAAACTTTCAGCAGCTCTTGTTCTTGCCTTAGTTACATTAAAAATGTAAAGTTAATAAAGCACTATTCAGTCTCTTTATGAAAGGATAGAACAGAGGAACAAGTTGTAGGAAGACAGTCACGTTGCCAGTGGGCTGGAGACTCAGTTGCAGTATAGACCATGTTATAGGTTAAACTGTAGAATCATCCAGGATCAATGGCATGTCAGAAATTCAGAGACAGCCAGAGAATACAGAGAATGAAGTTACACTGATTAGGTTCATTCTTTTTTTTTTTTTTTTTAGGTTCATTCTTTTTAACACTAATTTTTAAAAGAATATATATTTCTCTTTCAACACAATTGATTTCTTCATGAGATGGCTTGGGCTGACACTTTCTTGCAATGAGCTTTCTTTTTTTTTTTTTTGGTTTTTCGAGACAAGGTTTCTTTGTGTAGCCCTGGCTGTCCTGGAACTCACTCTGTAGACCAGGCTGGCCTCGAACTCAGAAATCCACCTGCCTCTGCCTCCCAAGTGCTGGGATTAAAGGCGTGTGCCACCACTGCCCGGCAAGCTTTCATTTTTATTGCTTGAAGTGCATGTACCATTATTCTACTTATGTCATTTTATAATACATGTTTTATACACACACACACACACACACACACACACACACACACACACATATTCATTTAAAGCATTGCATTTTAGGATCTTTGAGTAGTGAACAGATTCTATGGACATACCGTGTCTTTTCTGTTTATCTAAATGTGAAGGCCTGTTTATACAGTTGAATTGTTGTCAGCCTTTTTAATTATTTTAATAAGGAAAATATCTTTTTAATTGAAATAAAAAAATTAAGAGATTTTTGAAATAATAACAAACATATCATATTACTTATTTATAATTTAAGGTTATGAGAAGACTGGCAAATTAGATTTTATATTCATTATGATACTAAATAAGTAGAATTGAGTCTTATTTAAATTAAATGGTACTAAGTTCATTTCTTTACTGAACCATAGTTGGACAATCCTCAGAGTTCTTCAGGGATGTTTTAAAGTCATTCTTTCTTTTTTTAATGGAAAGCAGTGCACGTATGCAAACAACGGCTATCTCTGTGGGTTGGCATGGCAGAAATGGGTGAGAGGAGCATGGGCAAATAGTAAATCAGTGGCTAGCTTAGATACATCTTGGATAGAGCTCCTTCCTGCCTGTATAGAGATTTTAAATTGCTTGGATAAGCTAACATTCCAACACTTGCCGTTCTTTAAGGACAGATGTTATTTCCACCCTCAGTAGCCTAGCTCCTGAAAAGCTGTTCTTTCCGGTCCCTTTTCTAGTGAAGCTGAAGTTGCTTATCGTCTGTCTCATGATGAAATGCACATTCAATATGCTGAGGATCTGGCATCTGATCCTCTCTTCCATTTTCTCTTCATTTCCTTAAAGGAGATGAGAGAAGAGAGCTATTTATTGTTTGTAGGGTATCTAGGATTAAGTTAAGGACTTTCTTGTAAGATTTAGATATATCAGGAAACTTGTAAAACTTCATCCATATATGCAGTGCATCTTGGTCATATCCATCTCCCACGCCCTCCCTTCAGCTTCCCCATACCCTGTGCTTCCCCAACATGTCTCCTGTCTTCCTTTCAATTTCATTTTTTTTTTTAACCCTACAGAGTTCAGTTAGTGCTGCCATAGGCTCAGGTCTATTCATCCACTGAAGCCCAGGTAACCTGCCAGTGCACTCCCTAAGAAGGGCGACACAGTCCTTCTCACCAGCCATTAGTTGCCTTTGTCTTCTTGAAGGGTGGGCATGGAGCTCTCTTCCCTTCCGTGCTGAGTGTTCAGCTTTCTTCATCTTGATTTTAAAACTCTTCATTTGGAAGAATTTATAAGAATTTTGGTCATATTTTACTTTCCTGTCTTCATTCTTTATAAAAATGAAACCTCTTCCAAGGTGTAAAATACCCAATACTGTTTGTGTTTTCTGGGTTCTTAGGGAAGATGGGCACCACACATTGTCATGGCCTTTTCTGAAGTAGACCGGTCTTAGGTCTCCTGTGGATATATGTTCAAATCAAGACTTTCCCCCGTTAGTTTGCATTGTGACAGATTTGAAAAGGAATTGTATTGATGTCTGCTATTCTAAAAGCTCTTTTAAAAATGTAGTTGTTCTGAACTGAGTTTTGCTTTTCTCTCCTTTTCAGGCTCAGATTGCTTTCCTTCAGGGAGAGAGGAAAGGTCAAGAAAATTTGAAGAAAGATCTTGTGAGGAGGATCAAAATGCTGGAATATGCTCTGAAGCAGGAAAGGTAATTCACTAAAATCCCATGTCCTGCCATTGTTATTCTTATGGTCCTAAACTAAAATCATATTGTAATACCAAGTGCTCTTGAACCCAGAGCATCGAATGGACATCCTTATATGATTGCAATGTTAATATTATATGAAGAACAGTCACTTAATTCAGTAAGGCAGGTGACACGGTATAGAACATTCTGCACACATTTCTTCACACTCTGCTTCTTCCTTGATTTACTGTCGTCCATTCCTCTCTGTCCCACTTTCCACTTTTTACTATTTATTTATTTAGGTTTGTGTATTTTGAGCCTGGGGTTTTGTTACAGCCTAGGCTCTTACCCCCGACTTACCCTTCATAACCTCAGCTCCAATTCTTCATCAGCTGTTTCTTAATTCCCAGGTGCTAGGCTTATGAGTGATCCTGCTCATCTGTATTTTTTTTCCTTTCTTTTAATATAGTTTTTGTTTATTAGTCTACTTTTCTTTTCATGGTTTTGAGGATCGAACCTAGGATCATGTGTATGCTGTACAAGTATTCTCCCATTGAGCTATATGTCTAGTACTCAACCATTTATTTATACAGTAATATTCTATTTTAATTTGTAAAGAAAATTTTATAATTTCTCCCCTTATTATAATGCAATATTCAGTTTGATATAGTTTCTCTAAAAATTACTCTGATAGTATCTCTTCATAAGCTATTTTTTGGTTTTTGTTTTGATTTGGTTTTTTGCATTTTATTTTTGTGTTCCTTTATGAGATGTCTGTATCTCTCCAGGAGGAAAGCCTTCCTATTTTGGTAGTGTTTCATTTGGGTTTTAAGTAAAGGCAAATAGGTCACATGCAAAAGTTTTGAAAATTATCATGTGGATTAAGTTTCTTCAATGGCTAGTTTTTGGATTTATTTGTCAGCAGTCTGAAGTGGTTCATTATTTTCAGTAATCGGAACATTTGATAACCTGATATTAGAATGCTCTGTTTTGTTAATTTTTTTTGCCTTATTTTATAGTCACTTGTTTTTCTTTTGTTTTTGAAGTTGGCAAATGGACTGTTTGTAAAACCACCATAACATAATTTTAAACGTTGAGGAATTGATATGCAAGAGATTTCTCTTGTTGATGAAAAGTAAATTAATTTTTCCCACACCTTAAGAAGTTGAGAGAAAGCTACATTAGGGAGATGGAGAGAAAAAAAAAGTTTAAAAATAGGTAATATGCAAGTGCTTAAGACCCCAGACTTTCTTCAGTGCAGGCTTCCCCAGAAGTGGGGAGTTATAGACAGTAACAGAAGACATACTGTGAGTAGCTACCATGCATGCCCTACCCTACTTTCTGTTTCTGTGACAACCTACCAAAAACTAACTTGGTGGGGGAAGGTTTTATTTCATGTTAGAACCATGATCACAACCCATCACTGAAATACATCAGAGCAGGATGTCATGATAGGAACTGAAGCAGAGACCGTGGAGGAATTCTGCTTACTGGCTTGTTCCATTTGTTGCTTTTTCGCCTTCATTTTTAGAAATTTATTTATTTTTATGTTTATGGTTATTGCTCCTGTGTAAGTGTTTGTGTATCACATGTATCACATGTAGAGGCCAGTAGGGGATTTTGGGTTCCCTGGAGCTGGAGTTACAGACAGTTGTGAGTTTCCATGTAGGTGCTGGGAATTGAACCCATGACCCCTGAAAGAGCAGTGAACACTCTTAACTGAGCCATCTTTCTAGCACCTTCATTTGCTTTCCTATACAACTCAGGACCATCTGCCTGTGAGTAGCAGTGTCTGCAGTGGACTGAGCCTGCCAACATTAATCTTCAATCTAGAAAATTTCCACAGACCAGGCTGATGGAAGCAATACCTTAGTTGTGGTTTCCTTTTCCCTAGATAACTGGAGTTGTGTCAAGTTAACAAAAACGAACAACACAGTGTCCAGACCTAGAGGCTTAAAACTAAGTAATTATTGTAGAGTTCCAGGTCAGATCTCCCAGACTGAATCCAAAGCCTGCCCTGTTTATCATTTACCATAACGCCATTTGTTACCTATAAGGCAGTAGAACGGAAACATACCAGTACTGAAGTTAACAGAAGTTAACAGAAATGCGTGTGTGCATGTGCGTGTGCATGCATGTGTGCATATAAACTACAAAAGTCCACTGAGATGCTCAGTGCTGTGGCAGAAATGTACACATGGTATATAAGGCGGTCAGAAAGCAAGAAGCCGTGTATTACTGTCTGCAAGTGGCTTGAGCATCGTCATGTGGATAAGGCGCCTCGCCAGTCAGGCATACACAGAAAGCAGAGAGGACACACTGGAACCAAGAGGTGTGCTCAGTAATTTGTAGTCGTGTGTGTGTGTGTGTGTGTGTGTGTGTGTGTGTGTGTAGTGTAGTGCACATTACTTGTTATTTGATGACCAGAGATGGAGACAAGTACAAGAGTCAGATTGTGGTGTCTACTTAAAGAGTTCAACTTTTATCTTAAATATGGTAGGAAACATGGAAAACTTTCAAAAAGGTTTGTATCAAATGATCTTGAACTTACTGGAGAGTTGCAAGAATTTTTTTATACTTTTTACCCAAATTTACCAATTTACGCATTCATCTTTGTCTAATTATGCTGAGCCTGTTGGTTTTTTCTCCTAAATTATTTGCTTAACTTTTCTAAACTAGTTTAATATATAATTTCTTTTTTTTTATTTCTTTTCTATTTTCTTAGAGTAAGGAACTCTTATCTAAGCAAGCACTATCCAAACTTATATACTAACTATATCTATATCTTATAACTATATCTAAGTATATACTAACTTGTTCAAGCAAGTATTATTGTTAATAAAACTTTATGCTGGTATGATTCTGTTACTTGTTCAGGTGCCCTGATGGTGATCTTTATAGTGGACCATCTCCACTTCCGGTGTCGGATCATACTGCTAGGGAAAAGTTTTAAGTTTGAAATACATTTTAGAAATATCTCCCCGGGAACAGTACTAGAAAGATCTTCTTATCAGGGCAGGAAAATTATAATAAATGAGAAATAATGAACATAGCACTTGCTGGAATATAGTAGTATCTGCCATAAAGCATTTAAGTACAAAGAATATAAAATTTGGAGGTATAAAAATGTGAAGATGGTATGCTAAGAGAGAAAGCAAAGTCAAGAAGGACTCCCTAGGCTTCTGTCTTGGAAGGAGCTGTGGAACGAGGCGAGCATGCAGAGGTGAGTTGTGGTGTGAGGAACAGCATAGGAGAGGAGAGCGCTTGGAGCCATGGGAAACGGGTGCTTAGGAAGGGGATGAGGAGGAAGAGCCAAAGCAGGTGTGATTGAGGAGGAAGAGGAGAGCTGTGCTTGGAGCATAGAGGGAAGAGGGAGGTAGTCTCTGAAGAAGCTGTTGCTGACCGTGGTCACTGGGGCTCACCATTGGTGCCTGCTGATGCCCTTGACACTCTTGACACTCTTCCCAGAGGTGTTAAGAATAGGAGCTAGGTCACAGGAGAGGGAAGGGAGAGCAGAGGCAGCGACTGGCTGTCTCCACATGGTTACAGAACAGAAGAGATAATGAACTAGCTAAGTCTAGGAGGATTTTCTTTTCTACCCTGCCCCCTTTTCCTTTAACAGATATATTTAAAACTAATTTGGGTTCTCTGAGTGTTCATGAGGATGATTTGGGAGTTTTTCTGCTCCAGTGGCACCTCCCCCAATCCCCTTTGGTTCAGTTTGATTAGTTATTTCCCTGGGATAGTCTTGATGTGTAGCTAAGGCTGGCCTAGACCTCACATTCATTTGCTGTACAATCAGTATATTCTCTGGGTGCTGGGATTATAGGCGTACCTCACCATGCACAGCTGCAATGAAACTTTTAAAAGAAGGTTCATCATTATTATTATTATCAGTAGTAGTAGTATTTTGTGTGTGTGTGTGTGTGTTTTACCTGTATGTATGTGCAACATGTGTGGCGTGCTATCCACAGAGGCCAGAAGAGGGTGTTGGATCCCCTGGAAACTTGTGAGCTGTAGGTGGGTGCTGAGAACTGAACCTACATCCTCTAGAAAAGTAGCTAGTGCTCTTAACTGCTGAGCCATTTCTCCAGCTCCTGCAGTGACACTTCTTCAGGTTATGAAATTAACAAATACAAAGCATGTTCTTTGTATCATGGAACATTTAATTTCTTTTCAGTGCAAAATTATTTCTGTTAGTACTTTAATGCTAGGTATTACAAATACATTGTTGAATTCTAGAATACTCCAGTGTTTTCTATACTGGAATTAATTTTCTAATCCCAGTAATAGTAAAAAAAAAAAAAAGAAAGAAAAAAGAATGGATTGAAGAAATTTGAAACAGAAACATGGAGATATGCCTTGGCCTATTTTAACTTTTTAAATTTAATTTGTTACATGAGTTTATTGCAGTAAAGTTACAAGTAGAAACATCATACAGCAAGATTAAGGCAGTCACACAAAGCCTTGCGCGTTGTGCCTCTCGGTCAGTCGTACAGGTAGAATGGCCACCTTGACCTCAGAGCATCACTTCTGGCTTTAGTCAGTTACCTTTGTATAACACTGGTCCATTTTAAAGTCTAGACATCAGGGGCTTTACCGGTAAACAAGTAATGATCAATTTAGGTTTTCTAAGTTCCCCTCTGTGAAGAGCCAAAAGAAAATAACACTGACTCTTTAGATGGACTACTCACCTAGCAATTAATTTATCAAAGCATTCCTTAAAGCATGATAAAGTTTACAGGTGAAGCAGGTTATACATTCCTTTCAACAATGCAATGTTTGATTTGACATTTTTTTCCAGCAATTTTCATTCTAAGGAAGCTCAGCTCTACATAAAATCAACTCTTCTCATGTTTCCCGTCTTTCTCTGGCTGCGGTCACTTTTATCTTTACTGTAAGAGTCCACATGTCTTCTTGTTTCTTTATTTCCAAATTCTAATTCATCTTCTAAGTAACAGAATTAACGTTCAAAACACAAAGGAGTAACCATGTTGTAGCCCTGCTTAAAAATACTTGGTTAATTTCAAAGCAAACCTGCCTAAGTAGGCATTTTTTTTTTCCTGGTATCTTTTTTTGGACTTCATTCCTAGTAATTCTTTTGCCTGTTAAACCTAGTGTTGTATTTTGACCCACTGAGTGTTTCTGTTTTAAAAGCCAGAACTTGTCCTAAACACAGCAGTTATTTGTGAAAATTCAAACTGAATACCTTGTCCATCTTACTGATTGAGATTTAATTAAAATTTCACCTTGCTTTCTTTCCTATTTTATTTGACACTGCGCTTTACAGTTAGACAACCCCTTGCCTACGCCCCTCAGATGTATGCTTACAGATCTTACGTCAGTATGATAGACTTCATTTTCTGTGTCTGAGGCCTCCTCTTGTTTCTAGTCTTACTTCACTATAACTTGCAGGTTATTTTTTGCAGTCAGCACTCCACTTTGCATATGATGAGAAATCAGTGCTTTGTTGAAATTAATCACTGGGGATAGGGGGATGAATCAGGGGGTAAAATGCTTGCTGTGCAAGGTTAAGGAACTGAGTTCAGATCCGCAGTCCTCACATACAAAACCAGGCACAGCAGCATTCATCTGTGACCCCAGCAGGGGGCAGAGATTTCACACTTAGAGTTTTAATGACCCGCTAGTATAGCTGAGATGGCAAGCTCATGGTTCAGTGAAGAAAACCCTGTCTCAAAAAATAATATACAAAACGATAGTGGAAGACACTTAATCTGGGCTTCTGGACTCTACACGCACAATAATTCTTTTTAGCATTAACATTTAAGATGTGCTTGGACATGATTTTTAATCCCAACATACTGCTTATGCGGTAGGTTTTTAAACAAATCTAGAATAAACACTCTTTAGTATTTTAAATAACTTATTTAATGTGCATTGGTGTAAGGATGTTAGATCCCCTAGAACTAAAGTTATAGACAATTGTGAGCTGCCATGTGGGTTCTGGAAAGTGAACCCTGGTCCTTTGGAAAAGCAGCATGTGTTCTAACCACTGAGCCATCTCCCAAACTTCTCTCTAGTCTTTTATAATTATTAAACACATTCTATGTTATTTTATCCAGTAAAGGCCAGTTGAGAGTGGAAGTCTAGGTATATATGAAATATGAGATCTGTTTAGATTTGTTTATCTTGTAGTTCAAGTGAGACAGAAAAACAATAATGAACAAGATTGTTAACACGGTGACTTGAAGTATCAAAACAATGGGAAGCTATGAGTTTTTGAGAAACATTTTAGCATTTTTTCTTCCACAGAATGTTCCTAAGATTGAGGAGGGTTATTTTAGTAAAATGGTTTTTAGAAAATTTATTAAGTAAGGAAACACAGATTTTAGGAGCCAGAGCTTGTCCTAAACACAACAGTTACTTACATATTTTATTTCCATCTAAATTTTTGTGAAATAGTAGTAGATAATATGACTATTTTACCACATATAGATATCTTCTAATTATTTAAAGAAACTAATATTGCAGTTTTTTTCTAAGACCACTAGAATGCAGTAAGTATAATGCAGTATGTTGAATGGGGAATGCTTTCTCTCTCTGTGTTTACATAATATAATCAAGGCTCAGAGAATTTTGTTGCTACTTTTATTTAAGATATTATTATTTGCTATCAGGCCAATTATATTAGTTTGCTATTTTGACTTTTAACAAGATACTGTTGCTCTGTCTTATGGTAGATGAAATATTTCTGCAAAATCGAAAGATTTGCAATTACATTAAGAATATGTTTACTTATAACTAACTGTAAATGAAGCTAATGTCTGCACCTCACCTACTGATCATCAACACTATTGGGAAAACTTAGTTCAGTAATGAAATCATTGGATTCAGACACATTGGAAATATAGAGAAACATGTTCTAGATAATTTGGTGTCTATAATCTGTAAATTGTCTTAAGAGTCTCCTATATAAAATCTAGTGAATGAAGAAAAAAAATCTTACTTTTCTCTGTGACTACAAAATGATTATTGAAAAAGAATGAAGAATTTTGGTAATTTATATATTGGAATGAATAATTTCCTTTTTCTAATTTTAAATTATATAAAATGGTATGGCAAGTGCTCTATCCACTTTTTAAACATTAATCTGTTTTTGTTTTGTATATGTGAGTGTTTTCCCTGTGTGTGTGTCTGTCTGTATGTATATGTAGCACGTGTGTGCCTGGTGTCTGAGGAAGGATTTGGATCCCTGGAACTACAATCATAGATAATCATGAGTTGTCATATAAGTACTATGTGGATGCTTGGAATTGTACCTCAGGAAGAGTAGCCAGGGATCTTAACTGATGAATCATTAGAACACACACACCCTATTCTCCCCACACCCCAATTAATTTCTTATAAGGAAGAAAAGTTTTCAATTTGTTTATGTTTCTTTTCCTTCATTACTTAACTTTTGTTTCTGAAAATTGTTGTTTTTAGTTATATATTTTTACTGTCTCTCTTAACGCATTGAATACTTACTTTAAAAAAACATCATTTTGTAGAGAAGATGAGTTAAGATATACAAAATATTAAGCTGATCTGGTTATTCTTAGTTAATCTTTAATTTTTTTCTCTTTATCTGGATTTTTTTTGTATCATTTGCCTAGATCTGAGCTAGTTAAATTAGATGGCCAGTCCAGTTTGCTAAAAATAATAATACTCTGCTACCTTTAAAAAGAAATCAGACAGCCCTCCTAATCATGGGATGTTTTTCTGACTAAAGACAAAGTATATGTTGACTAAGGGAAATATTTAATCATCACTGCTAGGATATCTTGTGCAGCATAGATGATTTTGTCTGGGCTTTTGTTTTGCCTTGATAGCACACTATAAGAATATTTGAATTGTAATTACCAAATAAGACCCATAATATTGTAAGTAATGTTACTTTTTAGGATAAGTTCAAATATTGAGAAAAGTTAATGTAACAAAATAAATCGTTAGACCTCTTTTATTCATAGATGGTAAACTTCAGCTTATAGTCATCAAGATAATTTGAATGCAACAGAAATTAGAATTTATATAGTTCACTATAGTACAAAAGGAAAATTTATGATTCCTAGTGTTCTCCTTTAATTTCACTGTAATGAGAGTTGGTGATTCAACAACAAAAAAGGCAAGTATTTGACACCATGGAAATCTTGGGGCCTTTAAAAGTTCTGGGCATGCTCAGCCAGGACTACTGCACACTTCTTCTTAAAGCTTATTTAAATGTGTTTCGACATGGTTTGTATTTTCTCATTTCTTTGTTAGAGCCAAATACCACAAGTTGAAATATGGGACAGAACTGAATCAGGGAGACATGAAGCCTCCAAGCTATGATTCTGGTAAGTCTAGCTGTAAAGGAAGTTTTAAGTAATAAAAAGTTAATGTCTAGAATTTTGTAGAAACATTGAAACTTTAAGTTAGTATCTGCTTGCAGTTATTTTTTTTTTGGGGGGGGGTGCTAATTATTTAGCATCATGAGACCATTTTATACTACCTTTTTTTTCTTCATCTGTATCCTTTTTTAGTTCATAATTTTCTGCCTGTGTTCTACAGTCAGTAGAAGGTTCAGATATGATGGGGTAGTATTGACTAGACTCACTACTTGTGTTCTACAATCAGTAGAAGGTCCTTAACATTTTTTGAAATTCTTTGATACCTATTATAATCTCTCTGTTGACCTCCAGTGTTATTAATTTGGGTTTTCTATATCTTTTAATTCAGGTCATATTTTGTTACTCCTACTTATCTTTTAAAACATTAACTCATTTCATCTATTCTTTTTATTTTTCCATTTCATTTATTTCTGCTTCAGTTTTGATAATTTCTTTCCACCTATTGCTTTTGGGCTTGGTTTGTTTTTGTTTTTTCAAACTATTGAGGTACATTTTAAAGTTACTTATCTGAAATTTTACTCTTTTTTTAAATTTTTTTAAAAATTTTTTTTCTCAAATCATAATTCATTCACATAGGGGTTATAAACACAGAAAGGCAGGACGTGGGGAAGGGGATGACACTGGAGTGTGGGTGCTCAGGGGGAATACAGATATCTTCAGAACCGGGTATCGGCTGGGTGAAGATTCAGGAGACAAGTCACCATGACTCTGCCTATGACTCGCTTGTCCCCATCTAAGCTTGTATTGTCTGCCAAGGCTACCTATTTACAAGGTCCATGACCACTCAGGCTTATAAATTTCCACAAAAGCTGCCCGTTGACATTAGCTTATAGCCATCTGTTTCAGTGTTCTTCCACTGAGACCAAGACTTGGTGTTAGTATACATGTATGACAGGCCCACTGCTGATTTTAGACCTATGGCTGATTTTAGGCCTACAGTGTGTCAGCAGGGCTGCCCCTGACGTCTCCTCCCTTCTCTAAGTATAGAAGGGCTGTGGCAATTCTAAACTTGCGAAGGCGGGGATAGAGGCCTGACCTCCAGTATTTGAAGGGGACCTTGTAATGGCTCTGGTCCCCCTGTCGTTGTCCAGTGAGGCATGAGGGCCATACCCGTCCCGATGTCTTTTTCCTGGAGAGGGGATACTTTTAACATCAACCCCTATGCAGTCAGGCTTGTCCCTCAGGGAACCCAGAGAGATATTTTTATCTTTTATTGATAGTCCCTTGCAGTGCTTAGCCTCGCAGCCTAAGCAAGAATTCAGATCGCCTGTCAGAGGGGGTTCTGGGTGGCCCCTCAATGCTTGGTCTAGGGGCAGAAGTCCCCCCTTTTTAGGTTGGGTGGAGATGGGTTTTGGAAACACCCTGTATAAAGTACCAACCTCATCTTGAGTCTCGTGGTCCTCCATAGCTAACTTATGATAATGTATCTGAGTAGATTTTGCTACCATATTATTTATCTGTTGTATCACAGAGTTAGTCAGCCTATTTGAGAGCCAGGGACCAGCAGAAAAAAGCAAAAAGAACCCAAATAATGGTCCCAAGATGGAAGGAAATAGGGTTGACAACCTTGGAGAGGCTGTAAATCAATTCTTGTACCAGCATTCATCTGTCTCTTTCTCTCTCTGATTTTTCTTAGGGCCTTCACTGCCTATTTCATGCTCTCTTTAACCCTCCTTGTCTTGTCTATGTAAAGGGAACCTTCTTCTTTGAGGGTTGTACACAGTCAAGAGCTGTATGCAGCCGTTTCTATTGTACTAGAGTAAATCAAGTCCAATAAGGATCTTTTTGATTTTAGGAGGTCTCTTCAGACGGCGAAACGAGGGATTTCTTCAGATTAGTGATGTCAATCTCTAGCTGTTTGATGTTCTTGTCAGTGGCCCTTCAAAGGTCTGAGTAGTATAAGTTCGGAGGCCAGCATCTGGATTAGAACTTCTAACTGCAGACATCACGGGTGATTCATTTTTACCTGGGATACTGCCTGAGTTAAAGCTCCTGGGAGTCCCTCTTTCTCTCGGTTTTCTGGTCTTGGGTATAGAGCTGCCGCCTGTGACCTGCTCTATGCTCAGGCCCAGACCGGAAGTCGAAATTTTACTCTTTTTCTTACTTTTTTCATTTTTAAATTGTGTATACATGTATGTGTAGATGTTCATGTGCACATGAGACAGGTTTCTGTGGAGCCCAGAAGAGGGTAGTCATTGGGTCCCTGGAGCTGGAGTTACAGGTGGTTGTGAGCCATGATACAGATGCTGAGACCTGAACTCAGGATCCTCTGCAAGAACGGTCCACACTCCTGACGTTGAGCCACCACTCCAGCCCCTCTTTCTGCTTTCTTGTTTATGTTTGTAGGTACTTAGAGCTATAAGTTCCCCTTTTAGGTTTTCTTTTGTTTATTCCAGAGGTTTTGGTGTGTTGTGTTTTCATTTCGGTTAATTCCAAGAATGTTTTTCTTTGTTTCTTGATTCCTTCAGTGGTCTATTCATCATTCACTAACTGTCTTGTCCTATTTTGTTTTGTACAGTTTTGTTTAGTCAGAGTCTCTGCTGGCCTGGAACTCTCCCTGTAGACCAGGCAGGTCTCATGCACAAAGATCTAACTGCCTCTGGGAATCAAGGCCTCTGCCAGCACACCAAGCTCAATACTTACTGAGCTTATAATCTCTATTACTTTGTGTGTTTTTTCTATGCTTTCCTTTGTTGTTAATACCACGTTTTATTCTATTGTGGTCAGATAGAATACATGCAGTTATTTCAATTTTTCTAAGTTTGTCAAGATTTGTTTTGTGTCCATGTACGTGTCTATTTTAGAGACATTTCTATGGCCTGTTGAGAAGAATATTCTATAGTGTTTGGGTAAAATATTCTGTAGATATCTGTTAAGTCCATTTGGTATTTGGTGACATTCAATTTTAATGTTTCTCTTCAATTTTTGTCTGGTTGACCTGTCTGAAAAACTGGACAATTGAAGTCACCTACTATTATTGCTTTATTGTGGTTTATCTGTAGACCTTCTTTCTACCCATTGTCTCGAAGTGGTGTCTATCCTTGAGAGTGAGGTGTATTTCTGGTAGACAACAGAAAGATAGATCCTGTTTTCTGATACAGTTGGTTCTAATACAGTTGTATCCTTTAAGGGTTTGAGGCCATTAACATGTGAATGTATTATTGGAAGATGGTTATTAATTGCTGTCATTTTGTTGATTTTTGTGGTGTGTGGTAGTCTTACTTTGAATACCTGTCAACCTATCATATTTAATTTTTTTTTTGTTTGCTTTTTTTTTGTTTTTAGAGACAGGGTTTCTCTGTGTAGCCATGGCTGTCCTGGAACTCACTCTGTAGACCAGGCTGGGCTCGAACTCAGAAATACGCCTGCCTCTGCCTCCCAAGTGCTGGGATTAAAGGCATCCGCCACCACTGCCCAGCTTTAATTTTTTTCTTTATCACCTTAGATGTGCTTATTCTTCTGTTCATCCTGGAGCATTCCTTGTATTCTCTGTAGGGCTGGTTGGTAGTCACATAGTTCCCACCAAGAAGTAAGCTTTATTCTCATGGGCCTGATCTTTATATGCAACTTGGGTCATATTTCTTTCATCTTTAAATACCACCTCTGTCTTAGTTAGGGTTTCATTGCTGTGAAGAGACACCATGACCACACCAACTCTTACAAAGGAAAACATCCAGTTGGGATTGGCTTACAGTTTCAGAGGTTTAGTCCATGATCATCCTGGCAAACAGCATGACAATATGCAGGCAGACATGACGCTGGAGAATGGAGCTGAGAGTTCTACATCTTAATCCGAAGGCAGCAGGAGACTGTGTGTCACCCTGGATGTAGCTTGAGCATATAAAACTTCAAAGCCTGCCCCGCAGTGTTAACTTCTTCTAGTAAGACCACACCTACTCACTCCAACAAGGCCATACCTCCTAATCATGTCACCCATTCAAACACATGAGTCTATAGGAGCCATATCTCTTCAAGCTATTACACTCTTCCTTTTTCCCTGCCCTGTATACTTAATGTTTTACTATAACTTGGTATAGGGAGTTCTCTATACCTGTTTTTGTTCTCTGTGCTTTTTGTACCGGAATGGGCATCTCCTTGCTGGGATTTTATTGAAGATGTGTTATAAGCCTTTGGCCTTGAATTCTTTTTCTTGTCTTATGTCCATAACTCATAGATTTGGTCTTAATTGTGGTGTCCAGTATTCTTGCATATTCATCCTTTTTTTAACACCTTTGATTGGAAGAGTCTGAGAGGGCAGAACCCAGGTGAGCTAGTCTCTTACTAGGCAATGTGAGTAGCTGGAAGGGCCGGAAGACATGGTGGCCCGAGTGGCTTGGGAGTCCTAAGCGAGGGCAGGATCTGGTGGCGCGCTCAGCGTGGGCCCTGAAGGCAGAGGTCTCCATGCTTCTTTAGAACCTGGAGCTCACAGACTCAGCTAGACAGTCAGCCAGTAAGTCTCAGATACTCTTCAGTCTCCCAACCTTCCTAGTGGTGGGATTATAGATACAGACTGGCCTTTTTCTTTTCTTTTTTTAATTTTTAGTTTTTAAAATGTGAGTGATAGTATTTACTCAAAGCCTCATGTTTATGTAGCAATTATTTTACTGATTGAGCCATGTCCCTGTAACACCAGAAAAAAATTATAAAAATAAAACAGGTACTTTTTCAGAAGACTATCATAGTTCTATATTGTTTGTTTTAAAACAGTATATTTAATGACAGTATATAAATGCTATATGTATATAATTATTTTAATCCCCTACCCCATAAGTTTAACAGAGCTCTTTAGGCGTTCAAAGGGCTAGTTGCTATGCATAAACAAACTTTATTAGGGGGATGGAGGTATGGCTTAGCTATTAATTTCATTGTTTTTGACACAAGGTCTCATGTAGCCCTGGCATGTTGTCAACTTTTGATCCTTCTGTCTCCCTTTCCTAAGTTTGGATCACAACCTTGTGCCACCATGCCACCGTGCCTGGTCTCATGCAGTGCTGGGGATAGATAGAATCCGTGGCTTTACACATGCCAGGCAAGCAGTCTGCCCACCGAAGCATGTCCCCAGCTGAGACAGTTTCTTTACATATGTGTATCACATTGTTTGGGGTTTCTGGTTTTTTATTTGTTTTCTTTTTAACTACCATTTCTAGGTTTTATAATATTTCTATGTGGTTCTCACTCTGTAACATGATTTGATGGGTCTTTGTCTTAGAGGAAAATTCTCAGGCTAGTGAAAATGAAAGAAAAAAAAGTGTATTCGTTCTGGTGCTCTAAAGGGAATCTGGTGGAGATTCCCTTAATCATACAGAGTTCTGTTATCAAAATTGTTAAAAAGCATTCATATTGTCCTGAAACATACCTTTTAAAAGTTGTAGTTTCTTTCTTTTTTCTTTTTTTTTGTTTTTTTCAAGACGTAGTTTCCTATTCTGAACCTTATAAATGTTTATTGGACACTGTTTATGAACTGGGTTGTCTAAACGTGTAAAATTAGTCAATTTCATTGTAATTTAATATTCTCCAGATGAAGGTAATGAAACAGAGGTGCAGCCACAGCAAAATAGCCAATTAATGTGGAAACAAGGCCGGCAGCTACTCAGACAGTAAGTACCAAGATTAAACGTTCACTTTGTTGACAGTAAGAACAGTTTTTCATGCTTCTCTTTTGTATTTTTAACTCAGATGTTTCTCTTGTATTACTGCTGTGAGTAGCATTTACTATTCATTTTTCATATTAAACACTTCCCCCTCTGTTCTAATTTATGTAGTTAAAGAGTTCTGTGTCATTATTATTTTCTTTTCATCAACTCTCTAAACAGATGTTTTACTACAAACCGGTAAGGATCCCCATACACATTTCATGGCAAGCCTTTTCAGAACACTGAAGAACTCTGAATCCCCAGATTTTGCACGTATGGACTAACTGGGACTCTACAGGGGTTCTGATGTCAAATAGCAGACTAGACCTGTAGTCATGGAAACCGGCATATAGATTTATGCCAAAATAAAAGGAAATTTGATGTCATTCTCCATTTTGGACTTTTAGGGTGGGTTATTAGTAGTTTATTTCTAAGTTTTCAAAGCATGTTAATGCAATTCATTCCTTTTGACTAGAGGAAGGGAATGTTAAAATATCTCATACCTGTCTTTTATCTAGAACAGTGGTTTCAACCTTCTTAATGCTATGACCTTTTAATATAGTTCCTCATGTTGTGTTAACTCATAATCAAAAAATCATTTTTGTTGCTACTTCATAACTGTAATTTTGTTACTGGTATGAATTGTAAATATTTGATATGCAGGATTTCTGATATGTAACCCTTATGAAAGGGTTGTTCAATCCACAGAGGGGTTTTGACCCATAAGTTGAGAATTGCTGATCTAGACAAAGTTAGAAAAGATTTAAACCATTAGGTGGATTTTTGTTTCTGTATACGACATGTATTTCTCTTTTCAACTTTATTTTTGGTAATAGAAGTTGAACCTAGGTTCTTAAGTATGCCAAGCAAGTTCCCTGCTTCTTGTACCAATGGGACTTTGTGGTTTTATTGTACCACATGTACCTCCTGTTTGCTTGTTTACTTATTTCTTTCTTGGTGTGGTCTCACTAAGTTAACTAGGCTAGCCTTGAATTTGTATGTTCCTCCCTGCGTCTCCTCAATAGCTCCATTACAGGTAAGCTCCACCTGTCCTAGGCATTTTCAGTTTTCAAATGGCTGAGTGTGCTTAAACTGCTGTGGAAGGCTAAGCAGTTAAGAGCACTTTCTGCTCTTGCAGAGGACCTGAGTTCAATTCCCAGCACCCACATGGTGGCTCACAACCACCTGTAACTCTAATTCAGGTGATCTGACATCTGCTAGCCTCTGCAGGCGCTAGGCACACACATGGTGCATGCAGGCAAAGCACCCATACACTTAAAATAAGAAAAAGTTTTAAATGCTGATTAGCTTTTTGTTGTTTTTGTTCATGAGAAGTGATTTCATAGTAAATTAAGACATTTTCAAAACTTTAAACGATTTGTTACATACTTTTTGAAAAAGGTGACATTTTATCAGTAAGCTATGTATCAGCTATTTAATAAGACTAATGTATCTCTGGCAGAGCAGTTTAAAACAGATACATGTAATTTAGTTTTGCTGCCAAAGCAAGGTACATATCAAATTATTAATTATTAAAAGTAGAAAAATGAGCTAGAGAAATGGCTTAGGAGAATCAAATATTGGCTGCTTTTTGCAGAGGACCTGGGCTTGGTTTCTAGGGCCCACTTGTTGACTCAGAAACCTTCCTAACTGCAGTTTCAAGGGATCCAGTGCCCTCATCTGACCGCTGTGGACACCAGGCACTCATGGTGCACATACACACATGCATGCAAAACATCCACACCCATAAAATAAATACGCCTGAAACTTTTAACTATTAGGACAGCTTACTTTATCATAGTAGTCTTCAAAAATATCTGGTTAAATTCAAGAAAGTGGGAATAATAATTTCAAATTTATAATTTCAGATTTTTAAAATTAAGACTTTTCTATGGATACTAACAGGGTTTGAAAAGTGAACATCTTGATTTAATAAGACATCCTATCCCATTTGATGACCTATCTCTGTGAGACGTCTTTCAGCTCTAGTAACTATACAGATGAAATCCTGGAGTAAGCAGGACTTAAGCTAGCTCTCTTGTCACCCTGTGCTTTCCTCATTCCTTCAGTAGACCTACTGTATAAATAAACGCAAGTTGTCATTCTATCGTGATACCAATCTCATTTCCTTTGTTCTGGTCCTAAACTGCCAAGCTCGGTCTATTAAAACAAATCATTATCAGCATTTAACACTCGGGCTCTTGCGTATAGAGTGCTTTCTATGTTTCCTGGGTGATAGTAGGTCTCCTTGATGAGAATAAAAACAAGGTTAAGAGGGCTAATGTTGTACATCAAGTAAGTGTCAGGACTGGGCTTGAGCCGTGGATGTAACTGTATGCTCTGGGCTCCTTTTCTGTGCCTCTGACTTTCTTGAGCTACACAAATTCACATGAGTTTGTGTACCTCAAGTCCCACAATTTGTTTATTTTTGTTTTGGAATTTCTCAGGTCAGAAACATCTCTTTTTTAAAGTGACTGTTATGAAAAAAAATGTTATCTTTTTCTGTCCTGGAAAGAAACCATTTCCACTAGGAGCATTCTCTGCAGATTTTAGTTAATGACACTTCACATAAGAAATGTTAAAACAACGGGAGCCATTATTCTAAAATCGCAGTGGTAGAGTTTGGGTGGAGGGTGTTCTATTCTTCCTAAACCAAACCGTGTGCTCTGAAATACATTGAAGAACTGTTCTTCTTAGGATCAATGAATAGTGTATTGTATAGTTCTTTGGTTTGCCTCTGTGACTGTAGAGGCTGGTACTGCAAGAGACAGCTCCATCTGCAGCTGGAATATTATTAACAAGTCTTACTGACATGGTACTGTTCTGTTAAATCTTATATACTCAGTGAGCTTGAAGGAATACTTTTATTTACATTTTAAATTTTACAGTGCAAATTCCTGTGTGACTGAATTGTAAGGATCCTCTTTGTGCAGGTATCTTCAGGAGGTTGGCTACACAGATACTATTCTAGATGTGAAATCCAAGCGTGTGCGGGCATTGTTGGGCTTTTCAAGTGATGTCACTGACAGGGAGGATGACAAAAACCAGGACTCCGTGATAAATGGCACAGAGGCTGAAGTAAAAGAAACAGCAATGATTGGGTAAGTATTTTGTCTGGAAATTGTTTTAGCTATAACTTCAATCCTTACTGAATATTTTTGGTATAGAGGATATTGAGCTTTTAAATGATGACTTGGTAATAATGTAATTTTAGTTATTTAAATGTTATAAAAGTTCTGTTTAATTAGAAAGTCTTAAGATTAATTAAAGAATACAATTTTTATTTAGAGTATTTTATTTGCTTTAAATTTAAGGATTTAACATAGATTTTAATATTTTGAAGCTCTGTCAACCACTGTTAGATGTTGTTGAAATTAAATACAAGTACACAAGAATGATATATTATTGATGAATTGGAGATCAGAAAGTAAATATTTCTTTAATCCTATATTTTATATTATAATGTTGTTCCTCATCTTTCCTGTGATATAAAATATTTATTTAAAAAAATATATATACACACACACACATACATATTGAATGAATAGACTAAGTGTGACAATTCAAAAGTTATTCGAACTATTCAAGTTTTGTTTCAGACCATCATTGATATATACATAATTTTACTTAAACATAACAATAAACATAGTTCAGTAAAGAGATTATTCTTTATTAGAAAAAAATTGTCATAAATCTTTTTGGAATAAAAAAACAAAGAATCTGTGAATGTCTAAGTTTGATATTTACTTTTTTAAACTCATATTTAGGCTAAAAGAATGGTTTCAATTCAACTCTGTAAATTTCTTTGAGAAAATATAGTTCCAGTTATTTGGAATATAAAACTGTATAATTAGATAAAGGTTCAAAATAAAAATTTTGTAAACAAATGCCCTTGGACCTTTTAAAAATGAAATATAATTCTCTTTAGTACAACACGTGCATGTATGAATAGTTGTATTTTTACCTTGTGAGTTAAGTCATTAGACTTGTTATATAGTTGTAGAAGCTTACATGAGAGGTCCAAGGAGGAGCTGTAGAAAGAAACAGTAGAGATCCGAGGCAGAGTTCCTTAAAATAATAGTTTTAAAAGGAGCACATTAAGATTAGCGTGAAGGTCAGTCTGTGCAGTCAGAGGGGGCTCTGTCTGTCTGTCTGTGAGATTGAGGGCTTAACACTCAGTGTTCTACTTTTTTGCTTAATGCACAGAACTATAATAGCTGGGACCGATGTCGGTCATGGGGTGGTTTAGGGGATCATACATGCTCATATTGTAATACAAGGATAAGGTGCTGAAACCTCTCAACAGTTCTTTTTTTTTTTTTTTTTGGTGATATTTTAAAAGATTACCTTAGTATTATTGTACGTATTTTAAACCAGAAAATCCGAGTTAACGGATTCTGCCTCTGTGCTGGACAATTTCAAATTCCTTGAAAATGCAGCTGCAGATTTCAGTGATGAAGATGAGGACGAGGACATTGATGGGAGAGAGAAAAGCGTCATTGACACTTCCACAGTGAGTAGGAGAACTCATTTCAGTGTTTTTACGTGCCACAACGCATGTGTTAGAAGTCTGTGCACTTAACATCTTGAACTCTTAAAACCTTTTCATAAATTTGGGCAAGCAGAAATTTTTTTTGCTGATTTTATTTTGCTCATATTTTAAGTATAGTATTCTCTCCACGGTATGTTTAGACTTTGTCAATTCATTAGAGAAGGCAGCTCTCCATGGAGCTTCAGAGCGTGCTGAACACTGCATGTTCTAACAGTGTCCTGGTATTGTCTGTGATGGCAGACACAGGATGGTGCCTGATGGTAGCTAGCAGCAACTCTGAGATGGTTTTTGTCTCTCTAGGGAGAGCTGCAGTACACGCTCTGCGGTTTCAGACCTCTCCCTGCCGTCAGTTTCTTCAGTTGTTTAGAAGTCGTAGCTGTTTAGTCAGCCTTCAGGTGTGCTGACTTTCCCATACATTTCCTACAATAACAAGTGTCTCTGGGTTACAGTTTCTTCTTTCTCTAGTCTTTTTCTCCTCTTTCTTTTTCCTTTATTTCTTTTTCTCCTTTTTGAAGAAAGAGATGAAGACATGCTTTACTTAGATTCCGCAAAGTGTGTACATTTTGTCTTTAAGAATAGGAAGAAGGAAACTTAAAATGTGAAGCAGAGGGATCCAGTGTCAAAGGCCATAGTTAAGGCTTATGACCACATCATGTTCTTTTTTTATTTTTTGCAAGGGCTGGGGTTGAGATAAAGTCTCACCATGTAGCTCTGTCTATCCTGGAACTCACTGTGTAAACCAGAGTGGCCTGGAACTCAAAGAGATCTGCCTGCCTCTGTCTCCTGAGTGCTGGGATTAAAGTTGCCTGGCTTTAATTATTTTTCTTAATATGTTTGGCCTAATTTTATTAGTTTGTAAAATGAAGATTATAATAAGTACCTCATTTAATCCCCAGAAGACTCTATGATAAATAAGAGATTGTATATGAAAACAATGTTTAACTATAATGTGCTTTCTTTCTTTTTCCCCCTTCTCCCTCTTGCTCCAGCCCCACTTGCTCTGGGCCCCTGCTTGGTCTGGGTCCCGCTCGCTCATAATAGGACCTCAGATCTCATTATGGATGGCTGTGAGCCACCATGTGGTTGCTGGGATGACTTCTGGAAGAGCAGTCAGTGCTTTTAACTGCTGAGCCATCTCTCCAGCTCTATAATGTGCTTTCTTAGTATAACTTCTGTTTTTGATGCTTCCTACTTTCTGGGCTTAATCAGAGACTATTATTTCTGCCACATTATTGTGTGTATATGCCACTAATCATTTACACTGCTGATCTTAGCCCTACCAGAGATAGTTTTGAATATCAAGTAATCACCCAAATTTTTCTTAGCAACACAAGATATAATAGCATGTGCTGACCTAAAGGTCTGATCCTCTGCTTTGTTGTAATCATGCAGAGTTGTATAGTTTCTTACAGACTTTGTGTGACAGTTGCTTTGAGATACCATTTTCCTGACAGAATACCTTATTCATAGCCTAGTGGCAAATAAGTCTTGTAAGTTCTTTGTTGGTAATTATATTAGTTTAAATATTTTAAAATCTATAAATTGATTATTAAAACTATATTAAATGATCAGATTGGAAAATTTTAACAACCTAACCATATGGTTTCTTAGTGTTTAACCATTTAATTTCTTTTTATGTAATTAAATTCATAGTATTGATAGCATTCCAATTGATAGCACAGATCACAGGATATTGTGAACATGCATGAAGGTCCGTCCAATGGAAACAGACTTGCCTATTATCCACATTTAAATACTGGGTTCAGAAAGCTTTTCCCCATCTTTACCATATGCAAGGTACTAAATCCAAGGTCTTACATTTAATAGGCAAATACAGTACCCCAGCCAGAGAAGAGAAATGTATTTAAATGACTGGATATTTTTCTTAACAGTTTTATTAAGTTTTACATTGTATTACGTTAATTTTCACACACAGCTGTAGTCTGATACATGTCAAAAGGATTTTTAAAAGTTTTAAGTGTATACAATGGTAGGAATGACTTATAAAATGTATTACAACCTACACAGAGAAAATAGTTGAAATTTGTCCTGTTAAAAATGCTCATAGAGCAAATAGGTTTTTTAAAAACAGTGTTTAAGGCTTGACCTTTAGTACCAGTACTTGGGAGATGGAGGCAGGAGGATACCTGTGAGATTGAGGCTGTCCTGGTTTGCACAGTGAGCTCTAGGGCATCCAAGACTACACAGAGAGACTTTGTCTCAAAAAGAAAGTTTTATTATTATTTTTTTAATAAAAAAGTTAATAGAGCTAAACGGAGAGAATACGGCTACTGTGGGGTGCATTTCGGCTGTTATATGCATGGTTTCTCCACAGCCACACCCTGTCCTTTCTTTCTCCTGGTCTCAAGGTTTGCTTGTTCCTTGTGTTGCTGGCTAGAGCAGTGGTTCTCAACCTGTGGGTCGTGACCCCTTTGGGAGTAGAATGACCCTTTCCCAGAGGTCACACATATCAGATATTCTGCATATCAAATATTCATATCACAATTTGTAGCTATAGCAAAACTACAGTTATGAAGTAGCAACAAAATATTTTTTATGGTTGGTGGTCAGCACAGCATGAGGAACTGCATCACAGGGTCACAGCGTTAGGGTGGTTGTGGTCTAAAGCATCTCCATCTTTTGTTCATCCTCTTTCCTCTCTGTTGCCATTACCGGATCGTCCTCATCACCTCACAGTAGTGATCTGAAATTATAAATGCATAAAATATTATCTTCTGTGTAAAAGATTATTTCTGCAGAAGCATTTGCCTTATTCAAAAGGAAAAAATGGAATTAAGAACCGTTAGGTGTGGTTTTTAATAACATAAAGAATCCTAAGCCCTTTTGAACCAACTTTTTTTTAAATAGTAATTTTCAAAGTTGTTCTTTTTTCTAACCTGCTTGAAACTCCCTAGTCTATAACTCATATTTCTTTTTTAAAATCCTTTAAAATGTTAGAATATATCCCTTTCCCCTTCCCTTTTCTCCCTCCAGCCCTTCCTAGCTACTCAACCTTAAAATCCTCCCATGTCCTCTCTGTACTCTTTAGTTGATGGCCTCCTTTTAAAAATTATTATTGTTACATGCATGTATGTTTGTATATGTGTGTGTGTATACAATAACAAATACATATAAACACAGTTTGCTGAATCTGTTTTTGTTGTGTGTGTATGGTTTCATGGCCGACCACTCTACACTGAGCAGCCAGTAAGGGGCTCACCTCCCCGAGCAGTGACTAGTTGCTGTCGTTCTTTATCTAGGAGTGGAACTCAGCTAAATTTCTCCTTTCATGCTAACATGTTTATTGGCATTGCTATTGTTCCGCTCTTGTTTGCAGCCATTTCTTGGACAGACTGTTCCACGTGCTTTACAGTGGGCTTCCTCCTTGCATATAATTCCCTACGGTCCCCACCCCTACTGCCATGTTCCTTGAGCAGAGATGCAGGAACTGTGATGCAGGTGTATCCATTGGGGCTGGGCTCCCTTTCATCTGTTGATGTCTGTTGTGTCTGAGTGTAGTTTTCTGTGATCATCTTCATTTGCCTTTCTTTTCTCCTTAGTTTCTTAAGTAGAAACTCTCCTTATCTTTTCCTTTTCTTAGGAAGGAAAGTATTACTATGACAGATTTTACCCCTTCCAACTTACTGGTCCCATTTTTCTTTTGTAATCACAGCTCTTTTTTTCTTTGGTGCCTAAGCATAAGAAAGCACATGAGTGTAATGATGGCACGGAGCTGATGGTGGGCTCATTGGTTACCTAGACGTGTGTTTGCCCTCAGAGTTGCTTTTGTTCCTTAACACCATGTTTAGTTATAGCTAAAGCCCCAAATACTCTGACATTGAATTTGAGGTTCCAGGTACCATTTCTGGCTTTTCCCTGCCCTTTTTGTCTGGCACTGAGGACAAAGACTTTCCATCTTTTTTGTTGTTTGTTTGTTTGTTTTTGTTTTTTGAGACAGGGTTTCTCTGTGTAGCTCTGGCTGTCCTGGAACTGACTCTGTAGACCAGGCTGGCCTCAAACTCAGAAATCTGCCTGCCTCTGCCTCCTAAGTGCTGGGATCAAAGGCGTGCGCCACCGCCCAGCTTTTTTTTCTTTTTTTTGAGGACTTTCCATCTTGATGGCTAGTGGTGGCTGCCCTGATGTCAGCTGTATTCCTAACTTAGGAGTAGGTGGTACTTTACCTGTAGAACTGTGAGGACAGGGCAGCCTGTGGATGCTTGCCTGCTTGTCTGTGTACCATGTGTGTGCCTAGTATCCATGGAGGCCAAAAGAGGGTGCTAGATCCCCTGCATCTGGAGGTACAGACAGTTGTGAGCTGTGATGTTGGGGGCTGGGGAATGAACTCAGGTCCACTGAAACAACAGCCTAAGCTCTTCACCACTGAGCCACCTCTCCAGCCCAGTGCCAATCTTCAGAGACATTGTTTTATACCTGAGTTTTGTTGCTTAGTCAAAACTAGAACAAGTTCTCAGGAAATGGCTTATGGGTAATTAGAGAAACATTTGTTATGGGCTCTCTGCTCAGAACCTGCCATGATTGTCTGTGGGTTTGCTAGATGCTAAGCTAAGAAGTACTGTAAGCAGAGCAGTGTTTCTTATTTTAGGGTAATACTCTCCGTAAACAGAATTAGAACGTCATTAAATATCAGTTTTCCCTGTTTTTGTATGCATAGCGAAGACTGACATATATATATATACTGAGTATAGACATGTTGGACTCAGTACTCACTATCCAGTTTACCTTTTAAAACTACTGGCTTTGTGGTTCCAGAGGTATTTTTAAATATATAAAACTGAGTCATAACAATTCTTATATTAACCCTGAGTTATCTCACTCTATAATATTAATATTTTAGGGAGGGAAAGTGAATCTGTAAGAACTATTGACCTGGACACCTGGTGCATGTCTCTCATCCCAGCATTCTGGAGTCAGGAACAGCTCAGTGTCAAGACTAGCAAGGGCTACAGAGTAAGGCAGGAAATAAAATAGGATTGTTAGAGAAACAGAGGAAGGTGGAAATAATATAGGAGCCCTACAGTGTCTTCTGATTCCAGAGGCATTCGTTTCTGAGTTTGTAGTTGTGGCTGGCTTTGCAAGAGTGCCACATAGGTGTATGTAGGTATCATGGTGCTACTCTGGAAACAAAACATTTCACTGTTTACTGAACCTGTTCTGTTTAAATTAGATCAGAGTCTGCAGGCTGTACACACACTACATCTAAGGAATGTAAGATTTAATTGTTCTCATAACAAGAGTGTGACTTGTCTGTAATTTAAGTACAAATCTTACTTATCCAGCAATATATAGATTTAGTTTAAGTAATCTATGATACCTTTGAACAAAGTTTAAATTACTGCTTTAAGATGTATACTGCTTATTTTTAAGAATACAATGTATCTAGCTGAGTTAGGTGTTGCAGTTCTTTAGTATAGCCAGTAGGTACCTTCTGAAAAATGGTTTCTTCGCTTACTCAATTACAAAGGATCCAGTCTCTTTATTTAAACTAAATGCATAATGTTTGTTTTTATTTTAGTTTTATGTTTTCCCTCCCCCACCCTCCATCAGATTGTTAGGAAAAAAGCACTGCCTGATACCAGTGAAGATCGAGATACAAAAGAAGCTCTGAAGGAGTTTGACTTCCTCGTCACATCAGAGGAAGGAGACGAGTCTAGAAGTGCAGGCGATGGAACAGACTGGGGTAAGGGAGCACACTGGATCCAGTCAGAGGTCTGAATAAGTCCAGGGTGTTAATGTTTCACCAGGAGGGCAGTGTCTGGGAAACACTGGGCTCTGAAATGTTACACATTGGTGAAGCTTGTCCACTCTTCCTTTCTGTCTGGGTTGTGTGAGTGCCTGTAAGAAGCTTGTGTAGCTGCTAACTCCTCCTGTGATGTGTATGGGATGTATATACAGAACAAAATTCAATGAAAACACGGGCTGCTTTGTTTTCTGCTTAGACACACAGAACCTGCTGACTTAGACTTTGGGAAAGCTTAAACATGAGGATGTAGTGGAGGACTGAGGTTTCGTGTATCTTACATCTTCTAAGTAAGTCCCGTTATGTTAGAGAACTGTGGTTTCTCTGCTCCCTAGGATCTGACGTATTACACAGGCATAGCTGGGGGCTGTGCAGATTGCTTTAAATAGCTGTAAACAGCTAAAACTGTTAACAAGCATTGTAACCAACATTTGAGGACAACTTCTGTGACAGATTCTTCTAGTTCTTAAGGAATTGTGATTAATCCTTCAGAGGTGATCAGTTCTGTTGGGTATGTGCATATGTATGTAAGAGAGAGAGAAACAAAAGAGAAGGGACTAGCATTTGCTCAATTATTTATTGAGAGAATGTAATGCTGTTGGTTACTATAAGATTTCTTTTAAGTGTACCTCTGTAAAGCTTCTTCTTAGTGTTCTTAAAAGATGAGCAAATGATTTCATGTTTGAAATACTCAGTATTTTGTTCATAAAGACGAATGACACAAATATTATTTTATAGGTTTATACAAGTATTGCTATAAATGACACAAATATTTTATAGGATTGTAGACTGCTGTTTAGGTGTAGATGTGTCACATTATGAACTTTTCACTGGCTTCTGTTCAGGTAGCCACTTGAAAGAGTGATTTAGTAGATTTGAGAGCTGGAACCAAGACTATATATAGGTCGACAACATGGGACTACTTATATCCAGCAAAATCTTATTTTATACTTTTAGTTACGGACATTAGAAATAATAATTTAAGTCTTACTTAGAAATACATTTATTCTCTGAAGAAAAGAAATGAAAGAATTCTAAAGTTACAAAAGGAAAAACCAAGGTGCTTTTTCCTTCTTGATTTACACTAAAGTTTTTCTTTCTTTACACTTATTGATCATTATAGTGACTGGAAATGCTCTTTGGGTAAGCTCAGCAAACAGGTTGCCTCATACTTTTTAAATACGAAATATATAGTTTTTTTTAACTTTTTTTTTTAATGTCTGAAACTATACAATGAACATCTTATGATCACTTCACAGAATAAACATGATTATCTTATACTGTGTGTACCCCAGTAGCATTGGTCTGCAAGAGGCAGGTGATCTGACCGATTCTTTATATTCAGGGTAAACTCCCACTCCTTGACCTACTCCAGACCTATTGTAATGTTAGAGGCATTTGTGGATGCTCAGTGACTTTGACTGTTGGGGCGTGAAACAAATCACTCGTCACTTTGTAGTGAACCTCCCATGAGAGAAGGGCACCGTAGTGCATCTGAACTCTGCTGTCTCTACAGCCTTGAGACTCAGGGAAAATGCTTTCCAACGCTGGCTGCCAAGGGCTCTGCCCAGCAGTAAATACTAATATTCTGATATAGTAATTATTAGATTTTTTTCTTTATTTCATTAAATTACAGATTTTCTACGTATATAGTTAGTTACCTTTAAGACCTTACCTTCAGGGACACAGTCTGGGACTGTTGCTGTTGCCTGTCCCCCTCCCTTTTTTTTGTTTTTTTTTGTTTTTTTTTTTTTTGTTTTGGAGACGGGGTTTCTCTGTGTAGCTCTGGCTGTCCTGGAACTCACTCTGTAGACCAGGCTGGCCTCGAACTCAGAAATCCACCTGCCTCTGCCTCCCAAGTGCTAGGATTAAAGGCATGTGCCACCACTGCCCAGCACACCCCTCCTTTTTTAAGCAAAATCTAGAACTACTTTAGGCAACTACAATAAGAAACACATTAAGTATTTGAAGAGTTTTTTTTTTTTTTTCCAAGACACCAAAATTTGAAAACCAAGTAGAAAGTGTTATAGGTCTCTTTTCTGGCTTTTTCTTCTGAGCTTATTTCTCAAGTTATTTAGGTGTTTTAGATAACAATTTCCCAAGTCCAGTTGTTGGGCTGGTATTACACTGTGCCGTAGTGAGCTCTTTTGCTGAGAGGTTCCATGTCGCTGAAGATAAGACTGTCTTTCATTGCTAGTCTTCTTGCGGGCATAGTTAGTATTGGCTTATTCTGCAGAGACACCTAGATTCTGCCTGTCTCTTGTAACTTTGTTCCCTCTAACTAAAGAGCCACAGCCCAGTGTAACTTGATGTACAGCAGCGTATGTACATTTGAGTTTAGTCTGCACGAAACAGATGGTGATCCTGTGCTAGATCTGTTAATGAATGTGAGGGCGTAGAAGCTCTTGGTTGATAGGAGATCTGTTTGCCAGGAGCTAGGCCTTGAATTTTATTTCAATTTTTTGCCTTTAGATTTATTGTATTTTATTTTACCAGTGTGAGTGTCTTGCCTGTGTGTATGTCTGTGTGCCATGTGCATGGCTGGTGTCTGAGGAGGTGAGCGGAGAGTGTCAGGCCCAGGGACTGGGGCTATGGATCCTTATGACCTACCCACGTGGTGCTTACAGGTGAAGTCAGGTCCTCCGCAAGAGCAGGACGTGCTCTGAACCCCACGGAACCGTTACTCCAGCCCCTGGTCCTTTATTTATTTATTTAAAGAATTTTATAATTGTCAGACATGATGGTGCACAACTTTAATCCTAGAGCTTGGGAGGAGGAAGCAGGTGGATTTCTATGAGTTCGAGTCCAGGCTACTAGATAGTAAGTTCTAGGACAGCTAAGACTATGTAGTAAGACCGTGTCTGAAAAATAAACTTTTTAAAAATTTATAATTAAAATTCAAAGCACAGAACTCTAAGTTCAGAGAACTAGATCGTAAATCTTGTGAGAGAAAGAGATTGGCTGATGGTTGGCTGGTTGGTTGTACTTAGCTCAAGAGCCTAGTGAGCCTGGGGCAGGTGAATGGATATTGTCTGTGACCTACCATTGCTGCTGCTGGTACGAGTGCCTTAGACTGTAATTACAAGTGTTTAAGGCTACCAGGATGGCTTAGCAGGTAAAGAAGGAGAGGACCTACTCCAGCAAGTTGTCATCTGACCACGTGTGTGCTGTGGCTATGCGTGCACGCATGCGCTCGCTCTCTCTCTCTCTCTCTCTCTCTCTCTCTCTCTCTCTCTCTCTCTCTCTCTCTCTCTCTCTCTCTGAATAAACAAAATTTAAAATATTTTTAAAAGATTTGGTAACAATTACTTACCCCTGGAAGAGTGCACTATTCCTACTACTGATAGATATTATATCAGAGATCTAACACACTTTTTGAAGTTGGAGTAAACTTAACTTGCTTTGAAAATAGATTTCTGTTTATTCCGATTTTTTTCCTCAGGTAATTCCAGCGTTAATTCAATAGATAGATTGATCAAGTACTCTCCATGTCCTGTGACTTGTAGATGGCAATTCAGCTCCTGTGGTACTCAGTGGGGACCTAGCACTGCTCATAAAATGAGCACCACATGCCCAGAGCATATGCCTCCTTTTTTTTTTTTTTTTTTTGCTTTTGATAATTAGCAATTTTAAAAAGACCTTTTTAAATAATAAAATATAATAATGTAAAACAGAAACTAACACATCTGAATTGGACAAGACAAACAGAAGGAAAAGAACCCAAGAGAAGGCAGAATACTCACAGACCTACTCTTTCTCACACTCAGGAATCCCATACAAACACTAAACTAGAAGCCATAGTATATCCTTGAAGGACGTAGTGCAGACCCATGCAGGCCCTGTGCTTGCTGCCAAAGTCTCTGTGAGTTCATGTGAGTTTTGATCATACTGAGTTAGAGGACTTTGGTTTCTTGGTGTCCTCCATCTCCTTTGGCTTTTAACTCATTCTGCCTCCTCTTGTGGGTTCTCTGAGCCCTAAGGGGAGGGATTTGATGGAGGCATCACTTTTAGGGCTGAGTGGCCCAAGGTCTCTCACTCTCTGTAAATTGTCTGCTTGTGGGTCTTTGTTTTGTTCCCATCTGCTGCAGAAGGAAGCTTCTCTGATGATGACTCAACAAGGCACTGACTGATCTGCCTGGCTGGAGTCTTAAAACTCGAAAAGACCATTTAAGATGATTTTGTATCATAATAGTCTTCTATCACTGTATGTGTACGATATGAAATACATTGGCAATGATGTATCATCCTTGGAGTTAGTGAAATATCTAGGTTTATTTTTTTCGTCTTTTTCAATGGAAATGTTTTGTTAATTAGGAAATTGAATTGATCTTTGTTAGGTGTTACATTTGTATGTTATATATATGAGTATAAGAATGGCTTGCTTTGGTGAATGATATGAAGAAAATCATTATGTCTTTCAGACATTGCCTTAGAGTTTGATATTTTGTTGAAGAAAGACTGTTTGTCTCACTCTGTTTAGAAAAGGAAGATCAGTGTCTGATGCCTGAAGCCTGGAATGTGGACCAGGGAGTGATTACCAAACTGAAGGAGCAGTACAAAAAGGAGAGGAAGGGGAAGAAAGGGGTGAAGAGTAAGTGGAAACGTTGTATCTATAAGTGTAACCTCTGCATCCCTCCATCTCCCACATTGTTCTCAATGTTTTCCTAAGACTACTTACTATTTCATTTCTGCTCCTGACCTCTTTCCTGCTCACCATCTCTCAGGGGTTGAAATTAAGCAACACCTGTTTGACTATGAACTTAAAACTCACATATGAATATGGGATTTTAACAAACATGTAAAGATTTGGGAGAATGTTGGCCCGTGCATTTGAGTTGGCTTTTGCAGAGCTGTCTGGTTACTCACAAGGATGTTTATTTCTGATGGCAATTTATAAATCTTATTTAATTCAGTTTGCTAGCTGTCCACAAAAGTGATTGCTTATACTTTCAGATCTTGAGACAAAGAAGTTAATTTCTACCCCTGAATAGTCTTGTGTATTCACAACACGCAGTTCATTTGCTCTCGTCTGTATATGCTATACAGGGCACACAGTCAAACATATAATTTAAAAGAGTCTGTTTTCTAATGTAAATGTTTTGGCTAGTTTAATTTATAGCAGTATTACCAAGTGCCTTTTTCCTCGTTTCAGTAAAATGTATGCCACATCAGAAACAGAAGCCAAAATGAAATTTTAGCCCTGTGGATCATATAACTCATTATGCAAATGAAAAGTTTGTCAGTAGATGTAGTATGTATATAAGGAAATGCAAATCTTGTCAGAACCTTGATGAAAATAATATTAGACAGTTTTTAGGGACTGGGGATGTAGCTCAGATGGTAAAGGGTTTCCCTAGCATGCATGCACAAAGCCCGGGGCTCATCCCTGGAGCTGCATAAAGTGGGTGTGGTGGCTCATGTCTGTAATCCCTGCACTCTGGAGGGAGAGGCTGGAGGACCAGATAGGTGGTCAGGGTCATAGTTAGCTATATGAGGAATTAGAGACCATCCCAGGATATATGAGACCTTGTCTCAAAAAAACAAAAACCATCTTTTTGGGAGAGTAAGATTAAATCACCTTCTGTGCTTCTACTCATTGGCATGGTAAATAATGAGTTTTCCTTTCCATGACAATAGGAACTTTGTCCTTTGAGATGTGAAACTAGTACAAAATGAGATTAAAATCTAAACTTAGTGTGAAATGTACTTATAAATTGCAAAAGACTGGAAGGATATGCTGTATTCCCTCCTTACTTTTTAATTATGGAAAAACATGAAGAGCAGTCATTCCTGCAGACCTTGTGTTACAATCTGGTAGTTATTTTCAAGACATTTCAATATTTAAATCTTAAAATTTATAAATTCTGAACTCCATGAAGTCCATGTCCATTAGTGATGATAGCACAGGTTTAGGAATCACTGAGTGATGAGATTACTTACTTTACCTCAGAGTAGATCAAGTCAGAGTGAGAAAGGTAACATTAGAACAAGGCTGCTTCATTCATTCCTTATTCAAATAAGCTAAACTTAAAAATATATTGTGACATGAATTGCAGTGGCTTTTTAGAATGAAGTCTGAGCCAGTTAAACTGAAATGTTTAGGAAAACTTGTGTATTATACATTAGAAATATTTATATTTCTTTGGGTCATTACATTGTAAAATGAGTATCTTAGAATGTAAAGATCTTTTAATTGAAAAGGTAGCCAAGACTTCTGTGACTCATTTACTCATACATCATAGTTCGAATTTAGCCCTTAAGATCTAAAACTGCACCATTTGACTGGAACAATATTCCTATTAATAGAAGCAATTGGAGTCCCTGCACTGGGCATTATGATGCATATTCAAATATATAGCATGTGGGCTTTTTAAGTGAAGCAGCGTCTGTCTCCGGGGAGACTGTGAGCGCCTGACACTGAGGTTAAGGAGTATAGACTAAGGTCAGCAAAGCTTGGCTGTCACTCTCACTTGTTCTGTGTAACACAGCAGTGTGAGGACAAGTGTAGATCTGCAGTGAAGGAAAAATTGGTGCACAAAACATTGATTTATAAGTAACACTTTTTAATTGAGCTCTTACCCATTGTAAACTTTTTGATGTTTTTAATTGGTCTAGTGTAAATATATCCAGTCAAATTGTGTACTCCAGTCATACACATTATGACTTAAATTTTTCTAGGTATTAATTAGTTAAAATTGCTTAGAAATAGTTGTATTCTTTGCTGGTATAGGAAATACCATAACGGACTATGGGTAAGATTTTCCCATTCTTAATTAAACTTGTAACAGGAAAAACTACCGAAGATCTGTTTCAGCCTCTATCCTATATAAAACAGTCAAAACAGGGATGTGGGAGAATGAAGAATCAAAGCCCAGGTAAGTAATCAACAGGGCATGAGACTTCACTCTGGGTTCTATAGCCTCAGGATGTAGGCAATGGATGTAACTTAATTTAAACAAGCAGAGGTGTTACCCTGAGTTCACATTAGGTTCACGATCTGAGGTTCTCTATCTTCGTTTAGACCACTAGTCATTGGCTTCATTGTAGATAAGTATGACTTTTAATGATACGTACTGGACATGACGTTCTTTCTCATGTAATGATACCATTAACTTTATTTATAAAATGTATATTTAAATATAATTCTTTTCCAGCAATAATAAACTCTTAATAGTTGAAAACTTCAAAAATAACTACTCCTTATTGATCGATCTAGTAGGATATTTTAAAGGTAAATGTTGGCAGGTGTGAAAAGGTTTATTGTGCAGTTTTTATGAAATGAGTGATTCTGTTTTCTCTTTTTCCTCCTCTGCCCTCCCCCCCCCCCGTTTTGGCTAGGGCCCAATAGGTCAAAACTACAAGATATGCTTGCTAATTTGAGAGACGTTGATGAACTTCCCTCCTTGCAGCCATCTGTTGGCTCGCCTTCCAGACCCAGCAGCTCCAGGCTTCCTGAACAGGAGATCAGTAGGGCAGATGAAGGTGAGCATGCATGTGGGCCTAGAGCTGAACTGAGCCTTCAGAGAGCACAGTCTGCACACATCCGCTTTCTTACAGCAGTGGGGGCTGACTTTAGCATCCGTCTGTGATTTGGAGGGAAGAGCGTAAATTTAAGAACCAACTTTTAGTTTCTGGTTTTGAAGATTCCCTAGCTCCACTGGCAACTCAGTGTTACCAGGCCTACTCCATGCCAACACTGAAGAAATTGAGTCAAAAAGTTGGTACTAGGTGTTCACTTTGAAAGTCAGCATAACTACATTTTTAAAAATGCAGAGACACAGGACATGATGACACATGCTTTAATCTTAGCACTCGGAGGCAGAGAAAACTAATTCTCTATGAGTTTGAGGCCAGCCTGCTCTACATAGCAAGTTCCAGACCAGACAAGGGCTACATAGTGGGACCCTGTCTCAGAGTAACAATAACAAAATGGAGGAAAGCCACCTATTGTCATTTTCTGTTTCCCATGTTTCCTTGGTCCCTTTCAAAAGTTTTTATCTGATGGCATGTACCTTTTAAAAACATAGTTACAGCCATCATGTAGAATAGTTTTGTTTTGTTTTATGTTTAGTATAAAATCATATTGATGATTTTCAAGTTCAGCCTTAATGCTATATATTATACTGTAGATTTGAAATAAAATTCTTTCCTTAAAATATTTTGATTGTTTCTAGTTTTTCCACAGTGCAGTTCTATGGTATACAAATGCAGAAAGTTTAAGGTTGGAAATGTATGTCACTTGGTGATCTGACATTTGCCTCACGTGGAGCTCGGTTCATCCCCCGCATTGGGGTAAAGGACTGAGTGGAGAAGAAGTGTGGACAGATGTGAGAGAGGTGGGGTGGAGGAAAGGAAAGACTGTTCACTTTATATTTAATCACCTGTTACTAAAAAGTCTTCACCCAGCATTCAGGAAAAGCTTTCATAGTCTCTGTGTAGTATCCCCGTTAGTTTTCTAAAAGCTAATTAAGACAGCAATGTTTAGTCATCCAAAAGTCCTGTAACCTATTTCTTCACTTCTGAGGACTCAGAGAACAAGATGCCCATCCACGTAGAGATGTGATGTCCTTTCTCTTCTGACCACTGGCTAGACCTTCCTAGAACATTAGCTACTACTAACCCATGCTGTGCTCGGTTCTAGAACTGTTTGCAGAACAAGGCCATTTTTATTTCACATATGAAAATGTTAGATATGAAAAATAGGACAAACAAAAGACACCTGCTGAATCCCTAGTTTCCTAGGTGCACATAAGTTGTTGTTTGAAATTTTGGCTTGAAAATTACATTTGGGCAGTTCTCACGCTGCAGACAGCTAGGGTTATTTGACTCCTTCAGAGGATATGCAACGTTCTAGGGAAAGCTTATTTTTTATTGGTACTACTCTTGTGTACAGCTTGACAGTGGCTTAATTTGTATTCTGTTTTATTCTGATAGTGATTTTCTTTTTTCTGATAGATTTTGAGTTTTTGTCACTAGTAGTAGTTCTTGTCACTGTTTATCCTTGGCTGTCCTGAGTTCATTATGTAGACCAGACTGGCCTTGAGGTCCATCTCCCTGGGCCTTCAGAGTGCTGAGGTTAAAGTTGTGCACACCCAGATGCTACTACTGGTTTTAAAGCATGTAACCATTATTTAATGTGCTCAACAAGTACCTGTTAGTAAACGTAACTGCAGCACTGCAGACAGCTTTCAGATCTACTGTGCACTCAACTCAGTTAACTTCCTTCTTTTTTTTTTTTTAAAGATAATATGTTTTCAGCAAATTCTTTGAAGTGTTAAATTTGTCTGAAATGTTTCTAGTCAATGGAGTATCTTTCTCTGGAAAGGCAAGCCCAGGTGCCTTGTTGGAATAGTCTTCTTTTATCAGGTCTTAGTTCAGTGTTTAGCTTTTCACTGGTTCTTTAGTGGTACTTGTTGAAAGGCTGGATGCTGTGTTCAGAGGTACCAAGAAAGATATTCACGTTGATTACACAGTGAAGCTTCTTCTTGAAGCACAGTGACAACTATTAGAGTTCTGAAATGGACTTGAAAACATCTTTAAGGGAAATAAAACATGCGTACAAATGGGAACAGCTCATTGAATCATCACAAATCAGAAGTAGCCACAGTAGTTCCTGCAGTTACTCTCAGAACAAGGAACAGAGCATTACTAAGGTAGTAATGCTCTACATTACTGATGTAGCGCCCTCTGTGGCCCTTTACCCACTGGTCACTTGTCTCACTTCAAGAGGTAATTCTGACTTCTAACACTATATTAATTTTTCTTAGATAGGCACATAGTTTTCACTTTGAAATGTCTACAATATTCCAGTTTATAGAATTGATTGGTTTTATTTTTAGTGAGATCAACAGTGTTGAATGTACAGCAAGAACCACTTGTTAATATACTTAGTAATTGGTAGATGTTATTTGAGTAGTTATGAAATATCAAATAGAGAGAAAACTTACTTTTAGCCTTGATATTTTCTATATAATGATAAAGGAAAGGACAGTAGATACTACTGTGTTTCTCTTTTACCTTTCTAATTAGATGATATTGATAACAGGATAATATATGAAGAAGCAGTTTTTAAGATTTTTTTTTTGGCTCATGGAATTTTACTGTTTACAAAATTTCTTAACAGTAATATAAGAGAGGTATGATCTCTCAGGCCAGCACCTAGAGAATTTCCTTTGTTCTGGGCCAGCCTAGGCTCAAAAAACCTCCAGACAGACAGACAGACAGACAGACCGACCAACAACTCCCAAAATAGATCAAGTAAAAATGTACACCTTCACTTAGCAGAAGTGTAATGCAAGCCAGTGAGACTAGCTGTGGCCTGTTTAGATGTGTAACTTGGACTTTGTCTCCCTCAGTGGAAGCACTGACGTTTCCTCCTTCTTCTGGGAAGTCATTTATCATGGGAGCAGATGAAGCCCTTGAGAGCGAGCTGGGGCTTGGAGAGCTAGCAGGCCTTACGGTGGCCAACGAAGCAGACTCACTAGCGTATGATGTGAGTAACAGCTTTGTTTTTCATACCATTAATCTGTTTGAAAATTTAATAGTTGACTTTATAGAAGAAGATGGCAGAGGTAAAATTTTTCACAAGTATGGATCTTGGTTTTAATCTCAAGCTTTGCAAAGATGGATATAAAAATAAGCTCATTTTCTAAATAACCTGGCAATTAAAGGTGGAGACTGCCTTTATCTGTGGTCACTAAACTGCGTTGGTTTTAGGTAGGCACCCATGATGTGCCGATGTCTTCCCATCCCGCCCCTTCAGCACCTTGTCCAGTGTGTGCTCCTGCGCTGCCCGGCTTCTCCTCATTGCTGCATGCTCGCTTCTTGTCTCCTCAGCCTTACAGCAGCGGTCCTCCAGATGACCGGTTCATAATGCCTGGAGGCAGCACGTCCTCCCACCTACACCACGAAGACATTACCCAGTAGCTGTTTGAACTTGGACTTCTTTCTAACTCAAACTCACATTTTTCCTTTTCAGGAAAAACTGATATTATGTGTTTATCCTATTTCCAAAGGTAGTTCTTTGTTTTATTAAACATTCCAGCAATCTGGTGCTATATTTTTTTAAGTATAAAAAATACTTAATGGAATTTTTGGAGGTTCTTTGTCTCATATTTCTTTGTCAGATTTTGTTTTTGTTTTTTTTTTTTAGCTTTGTAGGTTCTTTGGGTATGTATTATGGTTTCCAGTTTTGTGGGATTTCTGTGTGATAATATATGTCTCTTGTGTCTATGTGTTTCTTGTAATTTTTTGTTTGGTTCTTTTTTCCTTTTTTGTTCCATTTAACTCCTTTTTGTTTTATGTTATTATTCTTTAGATGTCTGTTTTCAAGAGGGGGGAGATTCAGATGGAGAGGAAAGTGGGGGGGGGACCTGGAGGAATTGGTAAAGGGAATCTGTACTCAGAATATATTATGAAAAAAAATCTCTTTTTAATAAAATAATTTTAAAAGTATCATCTTCTAATCTCTCTGCACCCAGAGACTGGGTGTAGTCCTGGCTGTGGGTCTTACTGTAGCTGCAGTCAAGATGTTGCCAGTGCCTGCTTTCTCTCTTGAAGACTTACCTTGGAGAAGGCCAGACTCTGTCCCAGTTGTTGGCAGGCTGTGCATTGCTAAAGTGCTAAAGTTTTACCACAAAGTGCCCTTCATGCTGTCTTCACATGGCACCTAGTGTCCACACTTGAGTGTGTGTGAAAGGAAATGCAGCAGGGGTATAGCCCAGTGATGACCCTGGATTCTAAATCTTCCTCCTCAGCTCTGGGTGCTGGAATTGCAAGTGTGTGACACAGTGCTCAGCCATTGTAGCATTTTTTTTTATGTCCAGTTTATGAATTTTGTTTCCATCTTGGTGAAGAAAGTATTAAGTCTCAAAAACTGTGATTGTAGTTTAAATTAACAAGCTGTCTTAGTTTGGGGCTGCATTGCTGAGATGAAACAACTCAAGCAGACGTGACTTGGGTAGAAGAACGTTTATTGCACTTACAGTTGCACATCACAGTCGATGGAAGTCAGTGCAGGAATCGGAGCAGAGGCTGTAGAAGAACACTGGCTCACTCGCCTGCTTTCTTAACACACAGCACCGCCAGCCTAGGCTGGCACTGCCCACAGTGAGCTCGACTCTCCCACATCAATCCTCCATCAAGAAAATGCCTCACACTGGCTCACAGGCCAAGCTGGTGGGAACATTTTCTCTACTGAGGTTCCCTTTTCCAAAATGACTCTAGTCATTGACACACTTGACATAAAACTAGCCAGGATGTAGGCGTAAAGAGAAAAAACTCAGTTTTTCCTACCCCAATTACACTTTCTGTCTTAGAGTTTGAATTGAGTTAGTTCTACTAATTATTCAGTCTCTCTGTCACTGTGACATGATAAGTTGAAATAAGTACTTGTTAGAAAGGAAGGCTTACTTGAGTTTCAGTCCATGTTTGGTTGGAGCTGTGGGAAGAAGCTACTTGCTTTATGGTGTTAGGGGAGCAGAAAAAGGAGGCGGCTGGGTTCTGCTGTCTCCTAGCTCATCTAGGCTCCATCTGCTTAAGCCTCTCCCCTCTGGGAAGGCCACAGGCTGTTGACCAAGCCTCCAACACCCAGGCCTTGGGAGGACATTCAGGATCCAAACTAACAATAGTAGAGAACTGTTTGGAATTATTTACCTACATTTTAGATTGAATTATGTTAACTATTCTTTGATTCTTTTGTATTCCTTCCATGAAAACTACTGCCACACACTGGAATTTTGCTAATTGGTTTGGTTGTTTACTTTAAAAGTATATTATTTTGAGAATTATACTATGTAATAGTTTAATAGCAAATCAGTGATCTCAGCCTGATCTTTCATTTCTTTAATAGATAGCGAATAATAAAGATGCCTTGAGGAAGACATGGAATCCTAAGTTTACATTGAGGAGTCACTTTGATGGCATCCGAGCCCTTGCTTTCCACCCCGTCGAGCCTGTGTTAATAACAGCATCAGAGGACCATACGCTGAAAATGTGGAATCTGCAGAAAACAGCCCCAGCCAAAAAGTGAGGATATCTACTAGTACTTTTTAAAAAAAGAATTTAGTTAAGTTATTTATCAACAGGAAAAGATATATTTTAAAAACAATTTTCTGTAATATTTCCCAAATATCTCTTCTTATTCTTTATTTGTTACCATTTATAGGTAGATCCTTCAGACAGTCTAATGCTAGGTCTGACATTTAGGAAAGAGTTGTACTTGGTGGTTCCCATGTGTTTGTAAGTGCTGATTACAGTCTGTATGCATAAGTGTTTTACGTGGTTCTATAATGAAGATCCTGTTGCTGTAAAGAGACATAAGTAGGAACACTTAGAATTATCAACCTTTGACCTCAGTCTGGCTCATCATTTGTGGTTTAGATTTACAAAATGAAGAAATGCTTAGGTACTTTTCTATGCTGACAACAAGTTTTCCACACTAGGCAGTTTGTCTGACCCGAAGGACACTGCTGTGCGTGCTTAGGTGTCTGTTCTTGGCTTGGTGCTGTCTGAGTGACAACAGGCTTCATTAGCTCCCAAGTTAGACCAGATGTACTTGGCTAGGTCCTTCTGGAGCTCACCTTCCATTGGTCCATCCATCATCCAGAAAGCGTCCGACAGCAGGGATCCTTTTGCTGTGTTAGGCTTATGAGTACAGTGGACGGTGACACAGGACATCCCATAAGTTGTACTAGAACTGCCCACTTTAAAAGACACCAATAGCATTGGTGCTGTGAGTCATGCAGGACAGTGCTGGATGCAGCCTGAGCAGAACGTCGATGGAGGTCGGCACAGAGCTCATTCCCTTTATGTACTGTGCCTTTGCCTTTCTGACTCTCAGCTCACAGTATGTAGTTCTGGCTGCAGCCCAGTCACACGAAGCTAAATGTAAATGTCTGATTTACAAGAAGAACAAAGCAAATTAGCAAATGACAGTAACCTGGTTACCTTTAGGCTTCTGAGTGACATGAGGAGAGAGAAGTATACCTACACATCCCTGCAACATGATGTAGGAAATAGTGAGTTCTTAACCAGTGTCTGTGATGAGTCCAGTTCTCAGTAATGAATGAACACTTGGGCAGTGACTTCAGAATCAAGTATAGACGTAGTAACTTCACAAAAACACAAGGGAGGTAAAAGTACCATTGCTGAAATCCTGCCGTGTGCAGAGTTCTGGCCTTGACTGTATTTTATATTTAGATTCTCATTTTTCTTTTTTTTCCTGTAGGAATAGCTAGGTTTATTATTAATGTACCATCCATAGACATAAGACCCAACATCCCCCTGACCCAACAAGGAAGTTGACAAAACCTTAACAAGAAGAGCATATGCTGGGTATGCTGGGAGTCAGGGATCCTGTGACGGGCCAGCCATCTCTGCTTTGGTGCCCAGAAGACAGTGTGAGACTTTGAAGGCTTCCAAAGCGTCAGGGAGTCCAGGGTACTGCTTTGTAGAACCCAATGAGTATGGTGTACTTTTCCCAACTCTTTTCTCCTCTGTACATGAAATTAATTCCTAGGCCAAAGTCTGACCCAGAGCTTTCGACAATTATAGACTGAGAATTATGTTTCCATTACTTCCTCTCAGATGTGTAGGCCTCAGACAACTGCTTGAACTCCATCTCACTCCTTCAATATAGAAACCAAATCCTAATGTCTTCTTTTGTCATTGTGAGTGAGTCAGCCAAGGCCTCCAGAGTCTCCTCGTTAGAGTCGTGGTCTGTCTTGAAGTGCTGTACTAGCTCCTGGAACTGCTCAGTGGTGAACCCAGAGTTGCCGTCCATGGAAGCTAGACTTGGAGATGTCACCATCTCAGTTTCTTCTGTCTTCACCGCAGCTCACTTGAGCTCCCTTCTTCAGTTTCCAGATTCTCATTTTTCAATGTTGAAGAGTTGGTACTATCTAGACTTTCTGCTTTACTTTATATATAGGATAGTCTGAAGTTAAGAAATAATAAAAACTTCCCTGAGTTAGTTAAATAATGAAATAACTGGAAATCACATTCTGAAATTACCTTAACAGCCCATGTTCTCTCTTGGGAGTGACACTCTCCCACTAGTGGATGAATTGTAACAGTGTAAGAAGGCTGTGTTTGCAGTCTGTTGTACTGAGGTGGTAGTTTGTTGATGCCACTAAGGTGTAATTGGCATTAGGTGAGCCTCTGTATCCTGAGGCTGAGGATCTTACTACCATAGAGTCTATTTCTGACCGCAGTCTTATGACACAGTTAGTCATGCCATTTGCTACTGAAGTATAGAGCACTCAGACTTGTCTTCTTTCTCTGATTTAGGAGTACTTCTCTAGATGTGGAGCCTATCTATACATTCAGGGCTCACAAGTAAGTACATGGTTTTTTTTTTTTTTTTTTTTTTTTTGCTGTTTTTAGTTTGTTTTTATCTTAAGCCAACATCTTTATGACACAGTTTTAATTGGAATATCATATATTCTTTCACATATGTAATTTAGTATATTTTTTTCTGTGAGTGTTGGGCTTTTTTTGTAAATGTCAAAGAACCTGGCAGATAAGATAAATACCCATAGGGATCCTGGTATGTGGGCATCATAAACTGAAGTCAAGGCATTTAGGTTTGTTAGAAATGCTAGTGTTGGGACTGAAAAGATGCTTCAGCAGTTAAGGGTGCTTGCTGCTTCTCAGAAAACTGGAATTTGGTTCCCAGCACACATGTGAGAGGATTCACAGCAGCTTGTAACACCAGCTCCTGGTGATCTGACAGTGCTCTTCTGACTTTTTTGAATATCCATGCAGAGATAACATATACACACACACAATTAAAAAGCAAAATAATTTTTAAAAGGAGTTCTCACATTTTTTTCTTCTCTTCACATAGCTTACATAGAAATTACTCAAAGTCTAGGGATGTAGTTGAAAGTAGAAGGCTTGCCCTTTGGGTGTGAGGCCTAGGTACCCTCCTTAGGAGCACATGCTCACACATGCTCACACATGCTCACACATGCTCACACATGCTCACACATGCTCACACACATGCTGCTTATATTTTTAACCAAGAGTTTGTCTATAGTAATAGAAAAACATATTTTCTTGCTTCTCCTTGCATATAAGTGGCGTGTCTTCTCTTGATGTGTCAAGCAAATTGATATCTTTTTATATAAAGTAAATATTTTTTTAGGGTTAGCAGGCCATATACTATCTGTTGAACTTTTTTGGTCCTCTTTTTGGCTTTTGGTTTGGTTTGGTTTGGTTTGGTTTTTGCTGGGGATTGAACTAAGGATCTTAATTCTTGTAACATATTCTTAGTTTTGTTGTGTGTGCTATTATTTTAAATTTAAAAGTATAAAAGCATTCTTAGCTTAAGGCCTTGTACTAGGCCTACTGGGTGATTTTTAGCCTCAAGGCCATAATTTACTAACCTCCTGTGTAGCAAAGAAAGAAAAATGAATAGTACTTCAGTAGTGTTTTTATTCATTGTTACAAGCTGGAGAGTAGAAAGGCATTTAAGTAGTTAAACATCCTGAATGTTTGTAAGCTGTATTGTAGAATTAATGTTGGTGATAGCAGTTTGTTACCACACACGGGTTTGTTTGGTGTCGCAGAGGTCCGGTGCTGTGTGTGGTAATGAGTAGCAATGGTGAGCAGTGCTACAGTGGTGGCACTGATGGACTGATCCAGAGCTGGAGCACCACCAACCCCAACATCGACCCCTATGATTCTTACGGTACGTGGCTCTCCAGAGTTCTGAAGCAATGTTTCTATATTAAGGGTAAAGTTATAGTTTAAAAATTAGTAAAGAGAAGCATGTCTTTATTTCATTCAAAAGGAGTCCTGTAAATGCAAGAATCAGTGAGGTATAGAATGCTAAAAGTAAAAACATGCTGTTCTTGAGAAAAGAGTTTACCTCTGCAGTCTTACTGGACAGAAGTACTGCTTCGGTTGACGTTTGCTTTCTTCTTGTTAGACATCTGCCTAGTACTTGAAACACTATAACTCATTTGTAGTCAATCATATTTCATTACTGTTTTTGATAAACAACACTGAATAGAAGAAGCTAATTAGTTTTAAAGTCCACACCTCCAAAAGTATTTATTATAAAGAGTCTCAAAGGTTAAGAAATGGCCTTTTGGCTATGTTTGGAGGTGTAGCCCTGAAATCTCTGAACTTCAACGGGAGAAGTAGAAGTGCTGTGAACGTAGACCAGCTCAGTCTAGTTCATGAGTTCTTGCCCTGGCTGAGTTCTGTCCATCCTTCTCTCCCCTCAACACAAACCTATGCGGATGTGGATACATGGATTTGCATGGGCCTTTGGCTGTAAGAGCAGTGTTACTATTGCCATGAATCCATGTTATATGCTCTCTCCAGATATTACCATAAATTCCCTTGCAAAACTCTTGAGAAATTGGCTGCTTTAGTTTTAATACAGATTTTTAACGTGTCATGTTTGTCATTAAAAATATTTTAATTTTACTACGTTTTACTACCAAAGAGAAGTAAACATAAAATCAGCAAACAAAATTCTCTCCTAACATTTATTTAAGAGACAATAAAATAGAGCTTTCTTTACAAGCCAAGTTGTGCTTCTTAATTCTAATTTAGAATTGTCAAACTCTGTATTTGTATACTTCCAAAACTGTAATTATGACAGCATCTCGGAAGAATAATGGAAGGTAGGGAGATTATATTATACTGTTTCCCGATGCTCTATTTTATGTTTAACATTGAACCTAATGATTTTACAGTTTTTCCTCCTGGTTTTGTGCTTGTTTTACACAGATCCTTCTGTTCTAAGAGGCCCTCTGCTGGGCCACACGGATGCGGTGTGGGGGCTGGCCTACAGTGCAGCACACCAGCGCTTGTTGTCCTGTTCAGCAGACGGTACTCTTCGCGTATGGAATACAACTGAGGTTGCTCCAGCACTGAGTGTATTTAATGATAACCAAGGTACACTCCTCAAAATGAAAACTTCCAGATCTGAACATCCTACTCTTAAAAAAAAAAAAAAAGCAAACAAATAAATGATTCTGTGAACTCTTGATTGTATAAATTTTTAAGGTTTTTTTTTTTATAAGGAGCAACAGTATTTTTATTTGAAATTTCAATGAATATATATTTCCTAAGACCATACCATTTGATGAGAAAATGGGGTTTGAATTTTTAAGACTGAGACATAACTTACTTTCAGTGAAAATACTGAAAGGATTTGTTCTGATGCATCTGGTGAACAGCAGTCCTATAACTGACACAGCTCTGCAGCTGGACCATTTCTTCCCTTGGTAGATTGTTCCAGTGTGGGTCTTTTAGAAACAATTTATCGCCGGGTGGTGGTGGCGCACGCCTTTAATCCCAGCACTTGGGAGGCAGAGACAGGCGGATTTCTGAGTTCGTGGCCAGCCGGGTCTACAGAGTGAGTTCCAGGACAGCCAGGGCTACACAGAGAAACCCTGTCTCGAAAAAAAAGCAAAACAAAACAAAAAAAAAACCAAAACAAAAAAAGGAATAATTTATCATGAACATTTATAACTTTTCACTGTGGGCAGTAAAGACCTCGCAGAATTGCTAGGCTTAGGGTAGGAGTTTGTTATTAACTGATGTGAAATAGCTAATGTTTTCCCAAGTGCTTAGGTAGCAACGTGGGCTGTGGCGTCTGTGAGATCATTTGCTCTGCACCCTGACTTGCCTCTGCCGCGTTCTGCCGCGTGTTAGCCTTCTGTGAGCCGGTGGTAGTGTTTCACTTGAGTTGTAGTGTTGGGCTCTGTGACATCTCATTTGGTTCAGTTGCTGTTTACTATTGTCTAGTTCTAGATCTTCCGCTACAGATTCAGTTTTGAATTACTACCTTGCTTTAGTTAGGCATTGGACCAAATGAAACAGATTGCTTTATTTTTATATTTATTCTGTTTGTTTCTTTTCTTGTGGTAGTGCCTTGCTGCATATCCCCAGTTTACCTTGAATTTATTGTATAGTCCAGGCTGACCTCAGGTTCATCATCCTTGAATCTCAGCTTCCCAAGTGCTTCGATTTAAGGCATATGTTACCACGCTGGCTTTATCACTCTGTTTTTGGTACGAATAACTTCCAGGTTTAGTCCTTGATAGTACTTTTTTTAATGTTTGTGTGGTGATTGGCATGCTAGACAAATATTCTAGCATTGTGTTACACTCCTTAGCCACAGAATACCTTTATTTTTCAGCAAAGGATATATACAAATCTTGAGCTGTTATGACTTGCCTTTAGACTTTGAAGACTTAACTACATCCTAGGCAAGTGTGGTACTCCTGGGCTGCGCCTCAGCCAGAGGTGACTGTGTTGTTGGTTTTTTCTTCAAGATGGATTTTTAAAATACAGAATTCCCACTGTGTTATTCTATGTCTGCCTGAAGTGGAAATGGAAGCTATAAAACTTACAGTCTATATGTTTTTATTTCTTTATAAATAAGTTTGCATTCCATGAGTGTATTAGCACAATAATGGTAGAAAACATTTAACAGGTAGGGATAATAAAGTAGACTGAGGCTACAAGTTAGAAAGGAATACTCTTTGCTGAAAGATTATAAAATAACTTGTTTTAATGTTAAGCTTTATTTACTTAAGTTGGTCATACTTTGGTTTGTTTTGCTACATTTTGAGCACTTTGTCAAGTAGGCTTTAAACTCTCATTCTCTTTGAATATTTCTGACTCTCAGAACTGGGAATCCCTGCTTCTGTGGATCTGGTGAGCAGCGACCCGAGCCATATGGTAGCATCGTTCAGCAAGGGATATACAAGCATCTTTAACATGGAAACACAGCAGCGAATTCTCACGTTAGAATCCAATGTCGATTCAAGTATGTATACCAGGTTTTAAAAGTCTCTGTATTAGTTTTTAAACTTAATCAAAAGTATAATCACCATAGTCACTATAAAAAATGCTTGAGTTATAAAATATGGTAGTGCCCAAGCCTGAGAACACATTTACTTTAAAACAATTGATGTTGTTTCTTAACTTCAACACAGTCTAAGCAACCAAACCAAACAGCAGAAAAATCTCACACAAAGAACTTACTCCACATGGCCAGGTGACATTTTCTGTTGTATATGGAAATAACAAGCAGGGTATAGTAATCTCTTTGAAATCTCTTTGAAAACTCTTAAAAAGTACACAACAACAATTGTCAATATGCTACTTAAAAATTTAAAATCTGATGGGTTGCAAGATGATGGATTTTTTTTTCCATTATGTTTCAAAGAAGGAACAAGGATCTATATTTTGATCACAACTATGTGAATAGAACTCCGTGTGTAGAAGGAACTGAGGTTTAGCTTTGAAGATTACTTGTGTTCAAATGATGATAGAACTTTTTTGGTTGGTGTGTTTGGTTTTGTTTTGAAACAGGGTCTCACTTTGAATCTCTGACTGGCCCAGAACTCTATGTAGATGAGCTGTGCTGCTCTTGAACTCACAGAGATCCTCCTGCCTCTGTGCCACCACCCCAGCTATTAGAACTTTATTAAGGTAGCAAACATAGAGACTTGGTGTCATCAGTGTTTCTAGGCCAAGTGTAAGATGGTGTCAGTGTGTAGCAGGGTGGAAAGAAGCTTCTGACTATTCATTGCCTGTGGCTGGGGTGTGGTTTAGCTCAGGTGACTCATTTACAACACTAAAGCTAGAGGCATAATTGGAGAGTAATTGAACAAAGCCAGACTGAAGTTGAATTGTTTATTTTTTTCTGCCTTTGTACAAAAAAATTACTTTGACTAATTTGTATTGACTTTCAATTTTTCCTTTTTAGCAGCCAGTTCTTCCTGCCAGATAAACAGAGTCATCAGTCATCCCACCCTCCCGATCAGCATCACTGCTCATGAAGACAGGCATATCAAATTCTACGATAACAATACAGGTAAGAACTTACTGAGACTGAGTCGTGCTGAAGCAAAACCCACAGCAACAAGAAGGAAAGCAGCAATAAGTGCCCACTAAAAGTAAGCTTATTGTGGGTGTCTGATGGTCGCTTCATAGTCACGGAGACACTGAGACACTCCTAAGACTGTCAGACAGTGGGGAGCAGAGAACTTATTCTAAAGCCCCAGGCCTAAGCGCCAATAGAAACGTCTGCAGCAGTCTGCAAGGAGTGAGCGTTAACAGAAACATGTGAAGGCAGAGGCTGGTGGTTGTGTTTTACTTTAAATTGTTCAATTATCAAATAGCTGTGTTCTCTTGTTCACTATTAAATAGCTCAATTTAGTGTTGTAGATGAGAACCCTCCAGTCATTTGTTCTGTGTGTTTTTCCATGGGCTGATCTTTTCTGTGTTAACCCAAAATGTGAGTTCTGACTGAGCTGGTGCATGGAGCTTTCCCGGTCTTCAGTGGTCTGCATTTCAGCAGTCTACGGACGTGCACAGAGAGTTGAAATGGGAAGAACCGCGTGTGCGCGGCCATGTTTCTTTGGCTGTCTGCCTTTTTTAATATAGTCACTTGTGGTTGTGTTTAGTTGCTGGCAGTTTAATTTTCATTTTTTTTTTTCTGTGTTATTTCACCAAAACTCTGGTTGTGTTTTCTTTCTCTTCTTTTGTCTCTTTGAGATTGAACTTTCTGTCCTCCTACACTCATGTGGTCTGTAAGTAAAGGGTGCACAAAAAGATTAGTAATGTCCAACTCATAATTAGTGAACATGGAAAACCCACTGAATTTGTTGTGGCTTAAAAGACGGAGTCTCATCTGAAATTTAACCTGTTTTTATTTCTCGTTACTAACATGACCAAAGGCAAGACAGGGAGATGTGCTGTTTGAACTGTGGAAAAGGTTGATCACAAAGTACACAGACAGGGTGACTGGGGAAACCAGGATAGCGTGGAAGTCGGCATGATTAAGCTGAAGAAAATCATCAATAAAGAGTAACACTTTCTTTTTCCAAAGGCAAACTGATCCACTCGATGGTGGCCCACCTGGAGGCTGTTACAAGTTTGGCAGTTGATCCAAATGGCCTGTACTTGATGTCTGGCAGTAAGTGCATTAGCTGTGGCTTATGTGTTTGTCCTTACCATCTTCACGTTGACGTAATTGTTCCTTTCACCCTCCTTTCTTTTGCAATAGGTCATGACTGTTCAATACGCTTATGGAATTTAGAAAGTAAGACATGTATCCAGGAGTTCACAGCTCATCGGAAAAAATTTGAAGAATCGATCCATGATGTAGCATTCCACCCTTCCAAATGCTATATAGCCAGTGCTGGAGCCGACGCCCTGGCTAAGGTCTTTGTATGATGTGGTTGTATCAGCTTCACTTTGTAGCTCTTATAAAAGTCAACTGCACAACGAGATACGGAAGACCAGGGCAAGAATCAGCTCGCCCTGCCCTTTTGTTCTGCTGAGGGAGCACAGAGAACTCTGTTAAAGTATAGTTTTTCAATTCGTATACTGTTTTCTAAAATTAAGGTTTGTTCAGGTTGCTGCAAGCTCAGCCAAACCTGTGAACCTAAAACTTTCAGATTTCCCCCACAAAGAGGCACTTTTATTTCTGAAGTATTTTTATTTCTCATTCGCTGGGCAGGCCTGAGCGGAACAGGTTTAGTGTCTCCCTTTTGAGTAAACAGGGCGTGCTGCCATGGATAATTAGAGTTGAATGCCGGGAATGAGTAGAGGGGAAACCTAACTGTACTTCCACCCTGAGACATCTGCTAACCACGCTAGGTAGTCAGCTGTACAGTTGTATCTGCTCTACTAACCCCACTGTGTATAATATAATGAGCAGTCAGTGTTCATATGAGTTCCTACCACAGCTGTCCTTTCAGCCGTTCTCATAAAGCACATGGCAAAGCATTTCACCTGTTAGGAGGAAAAGATGCAATAATATGTTCAGTATATTACTATTCAGAAATGCTAAACAAATACTTAATTCGAAAGCAGATTTCTATATTGTATTACAATTTTGAAAGTAGATGTGGAACCATTCTAAAGTTTAGCTGTGAAACACAGTCAAGAATGGTTAATAGTGTCTGCTTTTACTAAAGGATTTAACTCATCCAGGTTTGAGATCCTGTTTATTTTTAAGGGCAAACAGGGCATATTTCTATAATTTGTCTAAAACTTCACCTCATTAATGTGGCATTTATAGTACTAGAGTTATTATTTCATATTGATAAAATTGACTTCCTAGTGACTCTCTGAAAAAGGAGAAAACTATTTATTAGCATCCATTTTCCAACACCCGTATAACTGGTTCAAGTGATCCTTGCTGTTTCTTCCCTACCTTTAATGGTTGTGTTGTCTGATGCTTACCATAAACAGTTTATAATTATTATGTCATGTAGCCCAAAACATGTGGTCACCTCAGGCAGCTGCTTTTGCAGCTGTACCTAATAAGGTAGTGCACTCCAGAAAGTCTCTACTCGTGATGGAAAAGACCTCTGTGGAGATGTAGATGGAGATGTCAGTGCCTGCAATATCTACAAGGTCTCCTCCTCCCCTCCCCGCCCCGCCCCGCCCCGAATTGTCCAATTGGAACGCACACTTTAATGAACAGTTGATCAATACTGTATCTAGAGAAAACCATGTCCTAAAATGCCGGCTCACACATTTATCTGTGAGCTGCGTGTGGCCAGCTTTGGGGAGTCTGAGAATCCTGCTGACTCACGTAGGGCAGTCCTCATACCCTTCACACCCTCTCTGCTTTTGTCCTAAAGGACAGAGACCACTATAAATACTAATTCAAATTAATCTCCACCTTTTTACCAAAATGTATACACCATGGGCTCTGTCTTAAAAATAGTTTACCCATAAATATTGTGGCCCATTAAAAGAATTCCATTGCCATAGCCATGGCATTTCTGGTGGTCTGTTCTTTGAAGTAGTATTCTCATGGTGATATGGCTAATAATTGACTTCTTAAAAATTTCTGCTCATCTGTCTTTAGAATTCTCCAGTGCAGGCAAACTTTTATTATAACTTTATAAGAGTTCTGCTGAATTTCCCGGATTATTATATAGACATGCTGTAGTATTTAACACAACCACAGTTTATCCCTGTGCTTTGGTTAACAAGCAGGCTTAAGAGAATGACTGGGATATGCAAGAGAATTGAGTCACACATAACTCCCAGGTAAATGCTCACATTTTCATGTAGATAGAGTTTTATGTTGTGGCATAAATTCTTCCATTCCTTGTAAAATGAACAAAAGGATTTGCTAACTGAACATTTGTAGAATATTAGAAGATTCCAGTCGGTCAGAGGTGGCATATTTATGATGGCTGAGCACAGTTACTGCGTCAGTTACTTTCCAAAGTCTTCAGTCTATGTCTGACTCTTGTTGCCAACACTCCAAAGCCAGGAGACTCTGCCCTGATCGTTCTGTGCCTCGTGATTGAAGTTTTCCTGGGAAATAATCCTAAGATAGGCAAAGTGTAATACAAATGACAGGACTGTTGAAAGCTTTTTTTAGGAGGTGTGCTTTGTGCCATTGAAGACTGCACATAGAGATTCTTTTAGACTAGCCCTGTTTGCTGTCATCCTAGAAATGAGCCAAAGCTGTCTTCCAGCAGGATGGTAGCATGCACATGTGTTTGACTTTCCCCATCCTATTGAAAATTCACAGGATGAACGAATTCAAGATTCAAAATCCTTGAAATACTTTGATGACTATTTACCAGATTGTAAATGTTTTGGGTGGGCTGTTTGGGAACGTGAAGATAAACAGGTAGGTTAGGTCCCTGCCTTGTTCTCAGTGCTGTGGATGTGTCTCTGGGAGCTTACAGTACTTCTCAAAATGCAGCTGTCACTTGGAGCTCATTTGCTACTCAAACCATAGACAAATAAGTGATGTAATGACCTTCAGTATTTTTCTATTGAACAAAGTTATCAATTTTTGCCATTAAACAAATAATTAGTTATGCAAAGTATTTAGCTTTTGTAATCATTTAGTTGTAACTAAAAGGGGGAAATTGAACTGTATCACCAATAATGAACTTTCTGAGAAATTGTTTATCTGACTTCCATTATTCCTTCAGTATTCTTGCT